GAAACACACTTTCTGTAATCTATATCATCAAACTTTCATATAGCTCCGATACAGGAGGAAGTGAAATGATGGGCTTGATCTCCTCATCAAAAAATATGAAGGGTCTCAGAAGTAGGCACATCCCTTTTCCATTCCCACTTAACCATCTCATGAACCCCTTAACTTTCGCTCCCCTTCTAATTACTCTAGCTTTTGGTCATGGCCAGTTAGCTAAAAATGAATGTAATTCAATTTACCTCACGGAAGGTCATAAGGCTGGGCTTGTTTCCCACTGGTGGTGTTTGATTGCACACCATGTGTGCCACAGGCAACCTCGCAGAGGCACCATCACGTGACAATACATGACTCCTAGCAAGAACTTCATGCATCCATGCACCTCCCTTTTTCTCTGATGGACGAGTATATGGATCGAAATAAAAGTATGCAATGGGACTCCCAGAAGAATCTTTGATGCGATAGAATCTAACATCATTGTTCCAAACCTGAGAGACGTGTGTATATATATGTATATGAGTACAGGATGAAAATTCATATCTTCATTAAATGAACCAAAATATAGCAATTCCAAAAAAGCATACATACCGGAGCTAGACCATCAGCCGGTTCAATATTAATTCCAAAAAGCATATTTGCTAGGTTAAACAGGCCATCCATGACCTTGGGCAAGGAGAAATATGGACGCAATTCTTCCTATAGAATACAAAGGCAGGAATATAAGTCTTGCGAACAAAAACGGCGGCCTTAAATTAATGGGAAAATGATAGCACACAAAAATTTAAAACAAGAAAGAAAGAGTTTGACAATCTCCAGTTATGTTTCATTAATATATGTTGTCACACAAAAGTGACACAAGATTTAATGAAGTGAATGAGAGTAGTAGGTACTAATTACACCATTTGATGTTACACATGTAATTCCAAACAGATGAAGATTAGAAGTTGCACACAACACACATACAAGCAGAGAGAGAGAGAGAGAGAGAGAGAGAGAAAGAGAGAAAAAAAAACCTCATTGATGTCAAATTTAGACTCACGAAGCCTCTCACTCCAAAAGCTGGTGTCCCAGTGATTCAAATCATCAGCTTCTGGAGCATCTTTACTTTTGGAGAAATTCTTAAGGTCTTCCATATCTACAAGGATATAAATAAATAAAAACGTCAGTATATTTTCTAACATAAAAGACTTTTTGCTGAATATAGTTTCATTAAAAATTATCTTCATTTTCCTCCTATTTTTTTTTTTTGAAAGCTAACAAATAATGATAAACTCTATTTAAAAATCATACAAATAACTTTCCACAAAGTAGGAGCTGTCAATAACCTACCTTGAACTGCAGCATTCCAGGAAGCACTTCGAAGCTTTTCTAGGAGCTCTTCTGCTTTTTCAACAGTAGCCATTTTGGTTGCCATGCTTACCTAATACATTATATCTCAGCAAGCCTATCATAAGAAAGTATGTTTAAAATGAATAGACGCACCTCAGCATAGTTATTGTAATTCAGAAGCTTGGCCTTTTCCAACCTAAGCTTCAAAATTGAGTCAATGATAGCAGTATTATCCAAATCTCCACTGGATGCACGAGTTACATAAGCACGGTATATTTCCTCACGCAAAGACCGGTTTCGAGCATGTTGCATAACAGAGAGAAAACTTGGCCCATCCAATGTAATTATCCAAGGCCCATTCTCAGCAATTGCATTTTCATGCCCCTGATTAGATACACAGATGCAACAGATGATACTAAGTAAGATAAATAACAAGTCTAAAGAAACCTCGTCAGGGTACAATTGGAATACCTTTGACAGCGCTGTTTGTGCTGCCATTCCCAGAGCAGTGGCTGGCAATCCTTCAATTTCATTCTTTTCAGTAACTAGCTTTTCAAAGTTCTTTGTGGCATCCAAAACATTCTCTTCAAATTTGTGAGACAGTCTTTTTAGTTCCTGCAAATAGAAATGCCAAAATCAAGTAATGGTAACACCAAACTAAAATAAGAATATCATCATCGATACCTATTTGTTAGTCTTACTTGAATTAAATAGATATTAACTCATATCCAATATTTCCAAGTTGAAGGGAAAGGCCCAAAAAATTAAATAAATAAATAAACTACAAATAAAAAATACGAAGAAAAGGCAGCACAGAAGTTTTCTAATATAGATTAAGTCAAACTATTGCCTCCAACCCCCTCCTCCCCCTCCAAATATATAAGAAAGGGGTAATATCAATAAGCAAAGCTCATACAAGCCTATTTGAAACTATGTATCCAGGGAATAACATGGCATAAGTTAGCATGCGGCTGTAGTGCCGGTAGCAACTCATATAGTGATGCCAAAACCTGAGTTACCATAAGTGGATAACAACTTCTTCAAAAATTTAAAAAAAAAAAAAAAAAAAAAAAAAAAAAAAAAAAAAAAAAAACAGATCAGAGGACGACGTTCAAAAAGACTCCAAAAGTACTAGCTTAATAAATTTATTAAAGCACACCTGTTCAATTTTGTTAAAATTGTCTCTTTTATCATCCTCTAGAGAAACACCACTCAAAACTGCCTCCTTTATTTGGCCTGCACAAGCACAATAAGAGAAACGTCAGATCAGACAAGCATAGACAAAAACGTAAAGGTAAAAGGAAACCACACTTTGCATGGATAATGTTTAAGCAGGATGCCATGATGTTAATTTTGTTAGCTTGTAAAATTGTAACTAAGCCTTCTACAAAACATGCATTGAGGAAATAACAAGTTTTGCACACGGCTCCCAGTCCTGTGTCCAGTTCAAGCACCAATTGCAAGCCATCCTTTTTCTAGTGTAAAATATAGCAAGGCTTGGTGGTACAGGTATAGTTCATCAAACATCACAATTACTTGAGAATAGAAAAACCAATGAAAAGGTCTTGAAACCCCGTATGCCTTGTAGATTCAACTTTTACATGGTACAATATATAAGAATACTCACTTTCAACTATACGTTTGCGGGCCTCAGTCAGCGTCTGCCAATCAGGGGATTCTAGAATAGCTTTAAATGCATTGTAAATTGGTTTACTTTGCCCCAACCTAAGCTGAAACTTAACTTTCTCTGGCTGCAGAGCACCACCGAACAAGAACCCAAAGCAAAATCAAAACAAAGAAGCCAATTCATGGACCAAAAATGTAGTAATACTGAGAAGTTAGTTGGAGAGAGTTAAAAGGACAGCTTTCAGAGTCAAGTCAGTATCATCTCATATGACCCTCTTTGAAATAAGGGGAATGCTAGCAACCTTCTATCTAACTTTCTCTTTTGGATCTTCTTCCTTTTTCTCATGACATGTGTCATTCTCCTTACATTTAAAACTATGTCATTAATGCATCATACAAAATCCATACCTGGACTTCTTCAATAGCAGAACGAAGCTCCGAGGAGTCCTTAACAGACTTGAGGTGGTTGACTAACCCCCAAACCACAGTTAATCGGTCAACGATCTTCTCCAGCGGCACGACCAGCTTCGGCCAGGTGGGCTCCACCGTACGCTCTAATTCCTCCAAATCACCCTCCTTTAAACCCCACCATGGAAACCATCAAATCCAAACCCACAAAAAAAACCAGAACCCAATTAGAAAAAACACGAAGAACCCAGAAACCAATACAAAACAAAACAAATAGCCAAAATACAGAAAAACTAAGAAAATCATAAAATCCCAGAAACTCAAATACAATAAAAATAAAAATAAATAGATGAAATTTTTTGAAACTGGAATGAAAATCGTACCAGTTTCTTCAAGAGAGCGCGAATCCCAGGTCGCACGTGCTTGGCATCGACAACATCGAAGGGAGGGAAGTCAAAGTCTTGGAGAAGAGGATTGGCTCCGAGAGCTTCGTCTAGAGAAGTAGAGGAGGCCATTGCAGTTGCAGATAGGAAAGAACAAGGGCGAGAAGAGAGTTAAGGATTGGTAGTGGCGGATTTGTGGAGACTGAGGCAGAAGGAGAAGGAAGAAGACCAGAGGGGACAATACTAGAATATGGGTAGATGTTTAGGGGCAAGATGGAGGAAAGGAGTGCGCTTTAGGAGGAGAGGGCGGACTGAACGAGAGAGAATGACGCGAGTAGCCATGCATGTTGAATATAAGAAGAGAAGCCAACAGGGCTCTCTTTCGTACGTGGAGCTTTAAGATATGCCTCATTTCGGTTTTTCTATAGGTAATAATCTATCTTCCGGAGCATACGACGATTCTTTCGCCATATGAGGTGTTAATTTACTTACTAAAATATCGCTTCACAATTCCATTTTTGTCTAAATTGCGGAGTAAATGGGCTTCTAGATGCGGTATTTTGTCAGTGATTCTTTTAGGGCCATTGCTTGTCACATGAGTTTGAATTTCATATTTCCATATATGAAAAGAAGTATAAATATCTCCATATACCAGACACTCACTAATGAATACTGCATCTTCAGAATTGTAACCCTCCCATGGCATATAAGCTACTAACACGTTTTTTCCCAATATCCTTCATTTTGTGCACTTGAGGCTTAAGATATGCTTCATTTTGTTTTTTTACGTGGAAAAATGGCACACCATAATTAAAAACTAATGGAAGTTGCATTGTAAATTCATATTCTGACTGAAAAGTTTTTAATTGGACACACTTTAATTAGAATTGGAATTGTGTCAATGGTCCTTAGTTTAGTGGTAAGAGCTTATGAATACGGTGTTGGACTAACCAAGAAAAGAAATTTGATGAATCTTTTATGTTTGAAACAAGAGGAACCTCCCAGAGTTACATTATGTATTTTATACTTATTTGAACTGCTAGTAGTACTAAACCAACAATTCATTATCTGTAAAACTTGTTTACTTTAGTTTATTATCATCTTTTGGGGTGTGAGATCACCTCATGGTGATAGTTTTTTTTTGGGGGATTAAATCAACGCAGGTTTATTGCATTACAAAGTTTCAACTAATACATCTATATACTTTCACCAGGATCCGAATCAAGGTTTGCTGAATTTAAATACAGTATAGCTCTAAGTTCATCTTGACATACGATCCTTCTGCTTTCTCAACCAAGAAAAGTCCGTTGATGACTGCTTACTGTGCCTGTTCCACAAAGATAAATTAAAACACAAGACATGCCTGTGGAGTTACTTCAATTAAAGTGCAAAGTTGTGCCTCAATGTTTCAAGTTAGTTGCTTGAATTAAAGCAAAGCGTAATCTGCAAATATATATTACCTGAATAGTATTCAGGTAATCTCATACCTAACACAACATGATTTGTTCTTCAGTTCTTGTACTTCAAGGATTCCTTCTCAAACCCAATTGTGGGAAATTGCTTAGCATACTCCTCAACGTCATGGCGGAGCTTTGCAATTTCAGATTGGAAGTGAGGGGCGAGCAGTGCGGCCACATAGTCCTTCAACTTTGTTCCTGGTATCCAGAAATGAAGGAAATGCAGTTCCACATTAGCCCATGCAAACACCAGGATTATCAACAGCACAACTATTAGATACCACTTGTGTATGAATGACAACTGGACAAACACAGCTTGGTGAGAACGAAATTTATGATATCAAATAGTTTAGGAACCTTGGGCTTCCCCCTTGATCTTCACAGCCAACTTCACAGCAGCATCAAAAAAATCTGCAACTTTAGCGAAATCCTCCTCAACAAATCCCCTAGAAGTAAGAGCGGGGGTTCCTGAAGTTTCAGAAAAAAATCACCAAGGTTACTGAAATTTTATGAACGAAAAAGAGTGTAAGAAGAACCAAAATTATCAGAAGCCTTTACCCATCCTGATGCCGCCAGGAACCATGGCAGACACATCTCCAGGAACAGTATTCTTGTTGGCTGCAATGTGAACAGCTTCTAACACCTTTTCGACCCTGGAGCCGTCAATACCCTGGAAAATGAGGTTTTAACAAACAGACAGTGCTGTCACTGCATCTTTCATGATAGAAAAACTATATGGTACACTATTACATGGAGTCAACAGCTCAGATCGGTAGTTTTAAAATTTCTCTGACTATAAAGCACAACTAAGTGGTAGACTTAGATGATTGCACAAACAAATTTTTGAAACCCAGAAGCTTCTCTATAAAGTATTACGAAAAAAGAAAAATTATGTTACCTTGTTCTTCAAATTCACCAAAACTAAATGGTTCTCAGTTCCGCCAGAGACAAGTTCGTAGCCCTTCTCAACCAAAGACTGCATATTTTTTTTCCAATTTTTAGCTATTAGAATGCTGGAAGTAAATTATAGACCTATGTCCTAACAAGAGAACATTATATCAAGGAAAATTCTAGCATAGGTGAACAAAAGGAAATGTCTGAAGCTGTTATCTCTCTCTGAAGCTATATACACATACAGAAATTCTCCCATGCATACATTCGGACGTTATTATCGTATGGACGCTATGTATTTTATACTACCCCTCCCTACTTTCCTGTCTATTTACAATAGCATCTGCATGATAAAAACGTGTGGATATCCGGACAAGAGAATAACTGTATATATATATATATATATATAAATTTAAGATCTTGTCTCAAAAACAAAGATTCTTGCATCTCAGAATATGATACCTGTGCAAATCTTGAGCAATTGCTGAGAACTTGCTCTTGATAAGCTTTGTACTCTGGTGTAGTAGCCTACATTTAAACAATAATCAGAAAATATGACCAATAAGATTTCAACAGAACTTGAAAAGTAAAATTCTCAAGTATCATTGGTAATTTTATGAAAGAACTGGGGGAAGGAGAGTGTGAGGGTAAAAGGGTAAGGTCTGAATTGGCCATAGATGTTAAAGGCCAAGAGAGTGAATACTTCCTTAAAATTGCTTTGGATGTACTGGCCATAAACCATGCATATCTTACATCGGACCATTTGCAAATAGGAACTTCCACCTTTTTTTTCTAATTCAGTGGTCACAGAAAAGTAAAGCAAGTACTTCAAACAAAATTTGCAGTTTGACTCCAGTATGTATCAGTTCCATAAGACAATATAAGGTATTTCAGTTTCTGATCTGTATAGATTGTTAGAATTTGGTATTTAGCTTGCTGGTTTTAGTGACTGATTTACAGAACAAATAAAACCTTTTGTAAGCAACGTATGCAGAGTAGAGAAAAGCTCAGAGAGAATGAGAATGATTCAGTCTATTTTTCATGTATTGCATCAGAGCCAAAAACACACTATATGCATGACACAAGCTGCCAAAAAAACAGATCCTAAAAACTAGGACACAAGGACTCATCTCCAGCCATTCAAGGTCATTGGAGGCTACGATTCTTACACCTAGGCTAGAAATTGTTACAGCAGAAAGGACTAAGACAGCTAAGAATGACAACTGTAGAGTTTCTCAAAATAGTAAGAAAACTAGCCGTTGGACATATCCTATAACAGCTATTACTATAAAAGGAAAGTTCTTCAGCTCCTTCGATTTCTTCATCCTCTTCACTGTCAATCTGCAGGATTAACATCTGCAGCTTGATTCAAGACTAGTATGCAGCTTAACTCTCAACAGCCTCTCCTAAGCTGCTTACTGGTTTAACTCCAAGCTTCAACCTCAAGTAATTGAATCGATCTTTGGGCAGAGATTTTGTAAAAATATCTGCCAACTGTTCTTCACTTCTGCAGAATCTCATGTCAATCACCCCTTCTTGTAAAGCTTCCCTTATGAAATGATACCTTCGGTTTATGTGCCTTGTTTTCTGATGGAAAACAGGGTTTTTGACCATTGATATTGCTGACATGTTGTCACAAAACAATGGTGTTGCATCAGGTTGCATTTCACCAAAATCATCCAACACAAACCTTAGCCAGATAGCTTGAGCAGTTGCCTCAGCTGCTGAGACGTATTCTGCTTCTGCAGTTGACAATGCAACTGTGTTTTGCTTGACTGAAGCCCATGAAAAAACTCCACTACCAAAACTGAATGCATATCCAGATGTGCTTCTACTGTCATCTTCACTGCCAGCCCAATCAGAGTCACAAAAACCAATCAGAACAGCATTCTTGTCCCTTGTAAATTCAATGCCATAGCTGAGAGTGCCTTGAATGTATCTAAGAACCCTTTTAGCAATTCCCATGTGCTTCTTTGTGGGGCTATGCGCATGAATCTTGATAACAAACTGGCTGCAAACATTATATCAGGCCTGGTTGCAGTCAGATACAACAGGCTGCCAACAATTTTTCTAAACAACCCTTCATCAGCCAACTGACTTCCATCAATTTTCTTTAGTTTCTCACTAGTGGGTAGAGGAATTGTTACTGACTTACAATCCTCGAGACCAAACATAACAAGCAAGGACTTTGCATACTTGCTTTGATGAATAAACACCCCATTTTCAGTTTGTAGAACTCTCATTCCCAAGAAATGATGTAAGAGTCCTAAATCAGTCATTTCATACTTCTGCATCATGTCCCTTTTAAACTCACTGAGCAAAGCATTACTGTTTCCAGTATAAACTATATCATCAACATATATAGAGACAATGAGCAGTTTTCCTTCTTCATCAGTTCTGGTATATAAGGTGGCCTCACTGGTGCTTCTTTTAAAATTGCAGCTAGTTAGATAGGTGTCAATTTCACTGTACCAGGCTCTGGGAGCCCGCTTCAAACCATAGAGAGCCTTCTTCAATTTATAGACCTTATGACTTGCTGTTTTCACTTCAAACCCCTCTGGTTGCTCAGTATAAACCTCCTCCTCAAGTACTCCATTCAAGAAGGCTGACTTAACATCTAATTGGAACAACTTCCAACCTTTTTGTGCTGCAAGTGCAATCAAAGTTCTAATTGTATCTAACCTTGCCACCGGGGCAAAGGTTTCATTATAATCAATACCAGGTTTCTGAGCATACCCTTTAGCTACAAGCCTAGCCTTGTGTTTTTGAACTGTTCCATTAAGGTTCAGCTTGGTTTTGAACACCCATTTGACTCCTATGACTGGTTTATCTGTAGGCCTTTCCACTAGCTCCCAAGTTCCATTCTTTTCAATAGTTTCAATCTCAGCATCCATTGCTTCCTTCCATGCTTTGTCTTCAACAGCTTCAAAATAAGTTTCAGGTTCAATAATGGTCATGTGACATCTTGCATAAATGTCCTCCAAACTTTTCAACTTTACTGGTGTATTGCTTGGAGTTGACCCTTGACTGGTACCACTGCCATTGCTTTCAGAGACATGTTCATCATCTGAGATTAATTGATTCAGATTTGGTGAAGCAATGCTGTGAGTTTCATGAGAGGTTTCTTCTGTTTCAGTTATCTCAGAACTTCCATTTTCAAAGATGAGAGGCACATGGACAGTTTCATCTTGCTTGCTTTCCCAATTCCAGAATTTGTTCTCATCAAAAACAACACTTCTAGAGAGTATGATCTTCTTAGTTTGAAGATTATAGATCCTGTAACCCTTCTCACAGCTGCCATAACCCATAAAAATTCCTTTGCTTGCTTTGTCATCAAACTTCTGTCTAAGGTTTGATGGAATGTGACTGTAACAAATACTTCCAAACACTCTCAGGTGTTTTACACTTGGTCTTCTTCCTGTAAAAGCTTCAAATGGAGTTTTGTCTGTAACTGAAGTGGTATAGCACCTGTTTTGCATATACACAATAGTACCAACTATTTCAGCCCAGAACTTTACAGGAATTTTCTTCTCAGTCATCATTGATCTTGCCATTTCACAAATGGTTCTGTTTCTTCTTTCAGCAATCCCATTTTGCTGAGGTGAGTAGGCAATAGTCAATTGCCTCTCCATGCCAAGATCACTGCAATACTTAAGGAATTCATGTGAAGTGTATTCTCCACCTCTGTCACTTCTTAGTTTCTTTAAATTGAATCCACTTTGTAGCTCAACAAAAGCTTTGAACTTTTTGAACACACTTATCACACTTGGCTTGTTTCTGAGAAAATATACCCAACACATTCTTGAATAGTCATCAATGAATGTGATGAAGTATTTATTTCCTCCAATGGATTCATTTTGCATTGGACCACATACATCCGTGTGTATCAATTCAAGTGGATTCTTAGCTCTCCAAGGCTTCTCATTCTCAAATGGTTCTCTGTGGCTTTTACCATACACACAGCCTTCACATACTCCTTCTTTTTCTAAAAAATCAGGTAAGCCTAACACCATTTGTGTTTGCTGCATTTTTTCATGCTTGCAAAATTCAAATGCCCCAATCTTCTATGCCAAATCCATGGATCTTCTTGTACTGCCGCTTTCATTCCCATTGAGCAGATAGATTCCATAGACAATGGAAAGCATCTATTTCCAGCCATTGCTACTTTGGCAACAACATTGTCAAGACTGCTGTCATCACATATTAATGCATAGTTTCCTCCAAATAGAATGTAGTACCCATGCTCCATCATTTGTCCTATACTCAACAAATTCTCATCTAGACCAGGGACTAACAGCACCTCATTTATATATCTTCTCCCTTTTCTTGTCTCAACTACAAGTGTCCCTTTTCCTGTGACTTGAACAAGATCACCAGTGCCCATTTTCACTTTGCAGGTCACTGATCTATCAAGATTGATCAACAAGGACTCTTGAGAGGTCATGTGGTTGATGCAAGCACTGTCAACAAACCACACAGACTTGCTTGATGCAATTGAACTTGCATGACAAGCATAGAACATTGTTCCCGTGGTTACCTCTTCCTCCTTTGCACAGTTTGCAACTTGTTTGCCATTGTCACAGTCCTTAGTTAAATGACCAAACCTATTGCATTTTCCACATCTAGGTTTGCCTTTGTGCCTACACACACCAAAATGAAACTTCTGACAGACTTGGCACTGTGGTTTCACACCTCCTTGACTGCTACTTCCTTGCTTGTTTTGTGAATTGAAACTGTTGTTCCAATTCCCTCCAGAGCCATTATTCCAATTTGAGCCATTATTGTTGTTAAAGTTTCCACCTTGAGACCAATTTGAGCCCTTTTTGTTCTGTCCTTGCCATTTTTTATTTTGCTTTCCCTGAGAACTTTTGTTAGCTCCAGAAGCTTGATTATTTCCAACTCTAAGACTGCTAAAAGCTTTCTCAGTTCCTGACAATTTATCCCTTTCATCATGTAGATCCTCTCTCTTATCATAGACTTTGACAGATGCAAGAATTTCTTCAACTCTAATAGTGTCAAGGTCTCTGGTTTCTTCAATGATTGACACTATGGACTTGTACCTCCTACTTAGACTCATCAACAATTTTTGAACAATCCTTTTCTCTGTTACATCTTCTCCTAGAGATTTTAGGTTGTTTACAGTTTCAAAAAATCGAGCCAAGTAGTCATCCAGAGATTCAACATCATTCATTCTCAAATATTCAAAATCAGCTCTAATAGCTTGTAATTTCACAGCTCTTACCTTTTTATCTCCTCTGAACTCTCTTCTTAGAATTTCCCAAGCACCTTTTGCAGTCTTCTCATTTCTGATGCGTGGAAAGAGTTCATCTGTTAGTGCTCCTTGAATAAGACTCAAAGCCTTGGCATTTTTTATCTTATCTTCTCTAGAGATAGTAGGTGCTTCCACTAGAATTTCCTCAGCCTCACTCTCTTCATCTCCAGTGCCTTCAGAGCCTGCTTCCTGCTCAATAATCGGCTGTGGTTGTATTCCAATCTCCACTGCATCCCATAAATCATATGCTATGAGGATAGTCTCCATTTTTACTGACCAAAAATCATAGTTTGAACCATTGAACTGTGGAGTTCGTAAATCTCCACCTGCAGAACCTGATCCCACCATTTTGATGTGAGTCTCAGTGAACCACACAATAAAAGAGCAACCTTTATTCCTTATAGAGATTTCAGGAAAACCCCCTTTCTCACAGCTCACGCCCCTTCTCTGAAATCAGACCAGGAGCTCTGATACCATGTTAGAATTTGGTATTTAGCTTGCTGGTTTTAGTGACTGATTTACATAACAAATAAAACCTTTTGTAAGCAACGTATGCAGAGTAGAGAAAAGCTCAGAGAGAATGAGAATGATTCAGTCTATTTTTCATGTATTGCATCAGAGCCAAAAACACACTATATGCATGACACAAGCTGCCAAAAAAACAGATCCTAAAAACTAGGACACAAGGACTCATCTCCAGCCATTCAAGGTCATTGGCGGCTACGATTCTTACACCTAGGCTAGAAATTGTTACAGCAGAAAGGACTAAGACAGCTAAGAATGACAACTGTAGAGTTTCTCAAAAATAGTAAGAAAACTAGCCGTTGGACATATCCTATAACAGCTATTACTATAAAAGGAAAGTTCTTCAGCTCCTTCGATTTCTTCATCCTCTTCACTGTCAATCTGAAGGATTAACATCTGCAGCTTGATTCAAGACTAGTATGCAGCTTAACTCTCAACATAGATAAATACTGTCTTGGCCACCTGAGTTCCATAAGATATTTGCATGGGTGATGAGCTGAGACGCAACTCAAGATGCATAAGAAACCCCTATTCTCAACATCAACAACAACTACTACAGATCATTTATTGCCATAAATAATTAAATAAGCCGCATTAACAATGGAATTAACTTCTACAAAGAAAATAAAAATTAAATTCCTGGTTATCATAACCAGCATGTACACCTGTTTCAATGCAACTGCCAAACCAGCAATTGTGTGGTTGTGCGGGCAGCCTTGAAGGCCAGGAAAGACAGCTTGATTGATTTTGTCATCGTAGTCATACAGCACCTTCAGGAAAGTATAAACATTGGGTGAGTTTAATAAACTGCAGCGTAAAGGGTAAAAATAAATAAGTTCGAACTGTGATCTTTGAAAACTCACCTCTTTCCCTTGTTTGTTAATCTCTTTTACCCCCTTCCTGAAGAAAATCATGGCTCCACGAGGGCCACGAAGCGACTTGTGCGTTGTGGTGGTCACTACATCCGCATACTCGAAAGGTGATGGGATGACACCAGCTGCAACCAACCCACTGATATGTGCCATATCTGCCAACAATATTGCTTTCTGTTTGTTGCATACCTGTCAAGTACTTAAAAGGTAAATCTTGGACTTTTCCACCATCACATGAAATCAAATTCCAAATGAAATTAGGGCATGTTTGGTAGGCCTCACTCCCTTGGACTGTGCTAAATAGGACTTGAAGCCCATGTTTTTGTAAGATGGAGACTAAGTTAAATGGGATTGTGGAGTCCAACAGTAAAAAAAAACCTTCTCACTCGCTCTCCTTATACAGAGAGCCTAAAATTTAGTTTGCAAAATAAGCCCATCACTAAATTGAGAACACGCAACTCCGCCTCTCTCTTGTTCGCGACTCTGGCTCTCTCTCTCTTGTTCGTGTTTGCAACTCCACCTCTCCTTCGTTCAACATCGACTGCTCCCAGGCAAGTTTTTCTGATCTCTCCCTTTTGATACCTCTCTTATTCTTTCTTCCACTTTTCTCATATGCTCTCTCTCTCTCTCTCTCGGCAACATTTTTAATGGGTATTGCTTTTTCTTTGGGTGTTATTGAGAAATGTCATTGTTAGATTGTTTGTTGAGTTGTTATTTTCTTTCTATCCTCTATTTGGTTGCTGGGAATTTTAGGCAGAAAAAAGGAAAATCTTCCATTTTTGTGTTTTATATTGTTATAGATTATATAATAATTAGTGGCTTCACTTAAGTTAAGCGGATAATGGAAAGAAAATTAAAATTTTAGCTGCATGTGTCATTTTACATCAATTTCTCAACAACCAAATAGTGCATTAGGGTTTGAATGTGTATTAAGCACTTCTTGTTTCCTCTCTTAATTGTTTGTTTACAAAAATTGCATCTTTTGGTTAAAAAAACTGATATTATTCAAGCTTTACTTGTTAGAAACTTAAAGGCATACAGTTGGCAATTGCCTGTTTATTTTGCATGATGGCCCATGATAAGTTAGTTTTAAGCTGATTTTGAGATTTGACGTGATGAATTGATATTATTAGCATTATTGTTCTTTTTCTTCTTCATCTTCTTTTTGAAATAAAAGTTTGAGTGTGTATATTGTTTGTGTTGCCAATGGCTTTTGCCTTTGGTTAGGCATATGTGATTCTATGCATGTGTCGAAAAGTATCATTAAACAATTCAGCAAGAATGATGTTCTGCAGAAAATGGCGTACTTTGTTAGTGAAGGAATAGTGGTGGTCATTTTTCTTTGATAAGCAAGGCATATTGGCTTGTTTGGATCTGTGTGGGTTTAAATGTTTCAATTATTTCCATTGATATGTAACAGGGAAAAAAGGATGACTTATAAAAAGTAAAACTTTGAAATTAGCTAGCCTTGGCCTAGGCTAGAGTACATAAATGAATGGAAACAGAACTCATGGGTTATCGGAGAGACTTATGACTTAAATGAAGCTTATTTGGATTTTCCTTCACCAATCCAAAGTTCTCCTCAGCTTTTAGTAATAGTTTCTCAGGAAAAGAAATGTACTGCAATACTGATGGGGCATACAGGAAGAGTGAAATCTCTCTGTCCTTATCCAACTAATCTTGGTAGGTGTAGATTTTCATATGTATGTGGGTTTTCTCACCTTTTTTTTTCATATGCTATTTTTGTGAAAGAACTAATGAGAATACAACTAATTTAAACCATTGCTTCTTCTTATCTGACAGAGATTATTGTCTATGTGGTTCGAGAGATGGCTCCTTTGCTCTTTGGGATTTTTCCATTAAGTAAAAAATTATTAAATTAGGCTTAACATGTGATATAGTTTCTGAGATGCTTCGTCCCTATGGAGACATCCCGTTAAAAGTGAGAACTCTAATTCCCTGTAGGGTTAGAAAATTTATGGGGTGGGAATTCGTATATGGGGTGAAGATAATGAAAATGAAACTAACTATATAATAGAAAATCCAACGAAGATAGTCAGCCAAGTACTTGTTTCCTCTGTTATATTGCAATTTTTGGATCATATTGGATTTATTACAGTGAAGCTATTTATGCTTGATTGTAGAGGTATTTTGTTGTCACTGCTTGAATCATTGAATGGGCTTGAAGGCCAAGTTGGTTAGTGAAATTTTAGTTTCTCCATTGCTCTGTTTGGCATAGTAAAATCACTTACTCAAAAACCTACCTAGCTCTATATTCGGCTCACTAATTTCTAGTCATGCCTAACACTAGTCTGCAGATCATGGTGTTTTGTTTTTCTGGTGTTCCTGTGAACTTCTTGGCCACTCTTGTTTTTGTTCTTTTGTATTTTTTGCTTTTACTGGAATAAAAGTTCTTTTAAAAATATAAAAAATAATTGAAGTTGGATCATGGTATTCAAACATGACTTGCTGGAGGCACGCCTACTCTAAGGATATCATCAGAGGCATATTGTGGATGGTGAGTGGTCTCTGTCACTGTGGTTTGATTACACATGGGCTAAGAATCTTGTTCTGTTTAGATTCAAAGATTTTGTTTTGTTATTCTTGGGGTTGAAAATTTACCTCGTTGACCCTATAATAATTTTGTTTTTGGAGTTGTATTCCTTTTTTGTTTGTAATCCGATTATGGAATGCGGATATTATTGCAATGCCTTGTTGAGAACTTGCTTGTCAGTTGAGAGATTGCAGGTATGGTTATGCAATTAAAGGAATGGTTGTGTTATAATATTAAAACTGAATTATTGATCTCTAATCTACAATTGATTTTGAGTACGTATGACTGAAAAGATTATTGGGCAATTAGTGTCTAGATGGTTGTGATATAATATGAAATCTGATTTTTGTTAATGAATTGCTCAAGAATATGATTTTTCATATATGGATTTTGGAAAATTCTTGTGTTGGTTGAGTTATACAATGAAATCTCAATTTTATCTTGAATATGAACTGCTCACCAATATCATTTTGCAAATCTGTATATTGGGCAATTTGAAGTGATATCTTATGCAAATTTAGTACCTTACATTTTTTAATTTTATGTTCATATTCCTGTTGTTTATGTTTCCATTTTATATGCTCTTTTCATTTTTATTTCAATATATATGTGAGACTTATGAAACGGAAGGACACCTACACCAAAACGCAATTGGACAAAGTTCGAGATGAATGAGCAAGTCATATGTTAGAGTGGCTTTTTGTTTGAAATAAGCATTCTTCCTTCATTTTAAATGTATTTTTGTTGCTAGTATGTTGCTTAAAGACAAGTATGGATCATATGTGGGGTTGGAAAATTTGTAATTTATGGAAATGTTGGATATATATTTGATGTACATGTATGGATATATTTAAATTTATATATGGTTTTTAATGTGCAATATGGATATATTTAAATTTATATATGGTTTTTAATGTGCAATGGGCAACACTTACATGATATTGTTCATAACAACCTCAATTTTGCACAAACAACTAAAGTTAAAAATTTAAAATAACAACAATACTCATAAGACAACTGAGTGGTGGTCGGTGGTTGTTATTGATATATTAATCAAATTCTGTGTGTTTGCATACAAATAAAGACTCCATTATGCACAAACTCGATGGAATTTATAACCTTAATAACAAACAAAAAGCCTTTCATTTGGAGGAAAAGAAATGTACATGTGAATTTGGTAATTAAAATTTAAAAAAAATAAAAAAAAACTTACATTTAATTATTTAAAAATTAAAATAATTATTTTTTAGTCCGACACAGTACCAAATATAGGTCTTCACTATTTTTACAATCCAGCTTTGTAGTCCGACGCAACACCAAACATAGGTTAGTACTTGATCCAGTTTAGACCAATTCGAGCTAATCCGAGACAGTCCCAAAATTTAGTCCAGTCCATGACAGTTCGCCATACCATAATTCTTTCTAGTTCTAGTTTTCTCAAGAAAAGATGTGTAAGGGTTTTCTTTTGAGTTTTTTTTTCCTATTATTATTATTATTCAAATCCAAACAAGTTTACCTTGCGAATATGTGCATAGTCATACAGACGTGCATAGGCGCTAGCACCAGCAACTATTAATTTTGGCCGAAATAGCATGGCACTTTTCTCCAACTGCAAATCATGGTTACTCTTGTCAGAAGCTTCTACTGGCACAGGTAGATAAATTTAAACATAAAGTTTCTATATGACGAGCAAGAATAATAAGATAAGATAGATTTCATCTTGGTAACCTTTTAACAGAATGTTGTGGTTTAAACATGCTTCACAGGTTGAACTAATAGTGTTAGGTTGCAATTAGAGTTATTAGTTGTGTGTTACTGCTTGGTTAATAAATCCCTATTGTTTAGGGAGTATCTGTTTGTTTTGACTTAGTATGTTACCACGTAATAGGTTTGTTAAACGTGGGCTGTTTTTCCATTCCTAGGTTACTCTTCTAAATACTTGCGATCTGAAAAGCTCTAGCTTTTAACAATTGGTATCAGAGCTTCCTTCTAGGGAGCCTGATTTGGAAGTAGAAGAAGCAGCAGTCTTCTAGGTGTGAATATGACATCAGAGAACAGCTATGTGCAGCCATCGATTCCTAAGTTTGACGGGCACTACGATCACTGGTCTATGCTCATGGAAAATTTCTTGCGGTCAAAGGAATATTGGAGCCTGGTGGAGAATGGGATCCCTGCAGCAGCAGGAGAAGCAGATCTCATAGAAGGACAAAGGAAAGCCATTGAAGATCAGAAGCTGAAGGACCTGAAAGCCAAGAACTATCTATTTCAAGCAATCGACCGTTCAATTCTGGAGACAATTCTGAACAAAGACACATCAAAGAATATCTGGGATTCTTTGAAACAGAAGTATCAAGGCACCACACGGGTCAAGCGAGCACAGTTACAAGCCCTTCGAAAAGAGTTTGACATTCTTCACATGAAGGCAGGAGAATCAGTAAATGAATACTTTGCCAGGACTCTCACCATAGCTAACAGAATGAGGCTACATGGTGAAAAAATGACAGATGTGTTAGTCATTGAAAAGATTTTGAGGTCAATGACTTCTAAGTTTGATTATGTTTGCTCCATTGAAGAGTCACATGATCTAGACTCTATGTCCATCGACGAGTTACAGAGTAGTCTACTTGTTCATGAACAGAGTATGAATGATCATGTCACAGAAGAACAAGCGTTGAAGGTAACGTATGATGAGTCCTCTGGAGGAAGAGACCGTGGACATGGAAATTTTAGAGGAAGAGGTTGAGGGAGAGGCCGGAGCTTTGACAAATCCACAATGGAATGTTATCACTGCCATAAACTTGGGCATTTTCAATATGAATGCCCAAGCAAGGAGAAAGGAGCAAATTTTGTAGAGGCTGGAGAAGAAATATTGTTGATGGCCTATGTTGATGATAAAAAGATGAACATGGAAGATTTGTGGTATCTTGACTTGGGTTGCAGTATCATATGTGTGGGAAGAAGGAATGTTTCTCATATTTGGATGCAAGCTTTAGAGATTCAGTAAAGCTTGGAAACAACTCAAGCATGGTAGTGTATGGAAAAGGCTATATAAGGCTGCAAGTAAATGGGATTGATCAAATCATCACTGGAGTGTTCTATGTACAGGAGTCAAAGAATAATTTGCTGAGTATTGGACAATTTCTACAGAAGGGACTTACAATTGTATTTCAATGTGGAAAGTGCAAGATCTTTCATCCTGAAAGAGGCTTGGTTATGGAGTCCAGAATGTCATCCAATAGGATGTTTGTTCTACTTGCTGCCTCTCAACCAAGAGAGTCTATGTGTTTCAATACAGTCACAGAGGATCAAACACATCTTTGGCATTGTAGATATGGACACTTGAATTTCCAAGGTTTGAGAACTCTTCAGTAGAAGCAAATGGTGAAAGTATTACCCCAACTCAAGAATCCTTCCAAAGTATGTAAAGATTGTTTGGTGGGCAAACAACACAGGGATTCGTTCCCAACAATGAGCACATGGAGGGCATCTCAAATACTTCAACTCGTTCATGCTCAGGGAGCGATCCACAGAGGAGCAAAGGTGGTCAAGTGACCCCTACAACTCTGGGATCTGCCATTAGAAGGGAGAAAATTGACCCCTGCAAACTACTTGATGAAAGTTCCCAAAGAGCACACAGCGCTGCTTCTCCCCAGCACGCAGCATCCTCCAGCACGCAGCGCTACTTGCGCTTCCTTCTTTTTCTTTCCCTCGACGTCAAAACGACGTCGTCCTATTTATTATGTATTTTAAAGCCTATATCTATGTTATAATTATATGGTTCTTTGTCTGCTGGTCCAATCAAAACTTTTCTTCTTTTTTATTCCTACAGCTGAAGACACGCGCATGCATATGATGTCTCCCACTTCCTTCTTTATTTATTCTTTATGCCCTTTCGTTCCTTCGTTGCAGCTTCTGGTCCACTTTTTCTTATGTATTTTTTTCATCTCAAATTCCCTTTGGTCTGCTGTGTTTCATTTCCTCCTCTTTGCTGTAGTTTCATCTCAAAACGACACCGTCTAGGATCAGGTCACTTAACTCTTTTTTATCTTATTATCCTGACCTTTTGGACAGGTTTTTCTTAATTTTCGAAATATGCATATAACAATCTAATAAATATGTTCCTCGTAAATAAATAAAAAATTACATGTATGTAACTTTTATTGCATTTTCATTCATTTCTAAGGGTCTTCTATATGTAAAAAATTGTGAGCTTATATATGTTGACCCCCGGAGAGCAGATTTCTAGATCCGTCCCTGTTCATGCTAACATTTGTGGGCCAATCACGCCAATCTCAAATAGCAAGAAAAGGTACCTGATCAGTTTTATTGATGATTTCAGTCACAAGACATGGATTTATTTTCTGGTAGAAAAATCAGAAGCTTTTATTACTTTCAAAAGCTATAAAAATCGTGTAGAAAAGGAAACATGTTCAAGCATAAGGGGGCTGCGAACAGATCGAGGTGGCGAATTTACATCACAAAAGTTCAACAATTTTTGTAATGAAAGTGGGATATGTAGGCAATTGACAGCATCATATACTCCACAACAGAATGGAGTTGTAGAGAGGAAAAACATAACCGTAATGAACATGGTTCGAAGCATGCTTTCGAAGAAGAAAATTCCCAAAACCTTCTGGCCATAAACAGTTAACTGGACTGTGTATGTGTTATATAGAAGTCCAACTTTTGCTGTCAAGAATCAAACTCTTGAAGAAGCCTGGAATGGAGTTAAACCGTCGGTGGAGTATTTCAAGGTTTTTGGGTGTGTCTCTCATGTGCATGTACCTGATAGCAAAAGAACAAAATTGGATGATAAAAGTTTAAATTGCGTCTTGCTTGGCGTCAGTGAGGAATCTAAAGCATAAAAATTGTATGATCCAGTCTCTCAGAAAATTCTTGTAAGCAGAGATGTTGTGTTCAAAGAGGATAAAAGTTGGGATTGGGACAAAAGGCATGAAGAAGTAATAATAGCTTATTTGGAATGGGGTGACAATGAAAAAGGAGCAACTACAGTCGCTGAAAATGAAGAAGAAGATGCTGCTGACTTCAACAATAACACAGGAGAAGAAATGGAAAATTATGCTTCAGATCAACCAGTTGAAGAAATCCCAGAAAATCTTCCCAATTCAGATGAAAGAAGAAATAGAAGACCACCAATATGGATGGAAGATTATAAAACAAGAGACTTTCTGAAGAAGATGATGTGGCTCATTTTGTCATGATTGCAGCTGCTGATCCAGTTCATTTTGAAGATGCGGTGAAAAGTGAAAAATGGAGAAAAGCCATGGACTTAGAAATTAAAGCAATAGAAAAGAATGATACATGGGAATTGAAGGAGTTACCTGCTGGAGGAAAGAAGATTGGAGTGAAATGGGTATATAAAATGAAGCTTAATGAGAATGGAGAAGTAGACAAGTATAAGGCAAGGCTCGTAGCAAAAGGCTATTCTCAACAACATGGGATAGACTATACAGAAGTGTTTGCACCTGTGGCACGGTTGGATACGATTCGTCTGGTAATAGCACTTGCGACTCAAAGATAATGGACAATTTACCAGCTGGATGTGAAATCTGCCTTCCTGCACGGGGAATTAAATGAGGAAGTGTTTGTTGAGCAACCTCAAGGTTATGTGCACAAGGGCAATGAATAGAAAGTCTATAGGCTCAAAAAGGCTTTATACGGACTTAAGCAAGCTCCATGAGCTGGTACAGTCGTATAGAGGCTTATTTCGTGAAAGAAAGATTTGAAAGATGTCATTATGAACACACCTTGTTTACAAAGACAGAAAAGGAAGGTAAAATTCTAATTGTGAGTCTTTATGTTGATGATCTCATATTTACTGGAAATGATGAATCTGTTTGCTGAGTTTAAGAGATCAATGATGCTTGAATTTGACATGACTGATCTTGGGAAGATGAGGTACTTTCTTGGTATAGAAGTTATGCAAAGGACTGATGGAATATTCATTAGCCAAAAGAAATATGCTTTGGAGGTGCTGGAAAAATTTGGAATGAATAAATGCAATCCGGTTCTTAATCCCATTGTCCCAGGTTGCAAACTTTTGAGAGATGAAGATGGAGTAAAAGTAGACAGCACCATCTACAAACAAATTGTGGGAAGCCTCATGTATTTAACTGCTACTAGACCAGACATGATGTTTGTGGTAAGTCTTATTAGCAGGTATATGAGTAATCCTACTGAGCTTCACATGGAGGCAGCAAAGAAAATTTTAAGGTATCTCAGAGGAACAATTGATTTTGGGGTGTTCTACAAGAAGGGAGGAAAAGGAGAATTGAAGGTTTGTACGGATAGTGACTATACTGGAGATCAAGAAGACAGGAAGAGCACTCAGGTTACGTTTTCTTATTCAGTTCAGGGGTGGTGTCCTGGTCATCAAAGAAACAGCCCAATAGTAACTCTATCCACCACTGAGGCAGAGTTCATTGCTGCAACCTCTTGTGCATGTCAGGTAGTGTGGTTGAGAAGGATTTTTGAGATGCTTGGTAAAAAGCAAGATAGGCCTACAATTGTTCACTGTGATAGTAGCTTACCAATCAAACTTGCAAAGAATCCAATGATGCATGGACGCAGCAAGCATATAGACGTTCGTTTCCATTTTCTTCGTGAGCTTATAAAGGCAGGAATTGTGGAAATGGTGCATTGCAACAGTCAAGAACAAATTGCAGATGTGATGACAAAACCCCTCAAGTTGGATGCATTCGTGAAGCTGCAAAGTATGTTAGGTGTCTGTCCATAACCATGTGTAAACTGATTGCAAGCTGCATTCAGTAAGGGAGGAATTGTTAGGTTGTAGTTAGAGTTATTAGTTGTGTGTTACTGTTTGGTTAATAAATCCCTATTGTTTAGGGAGTATCTGTTTGTTTTGACTTAGTCTGTTACTACGTAATAGGTTTGTTAAACGTGGGCTGTTTTTCCATTCCTAGGTTACTCTTTGTAAGGCTACTTAAACAGCCGTTGCTTCTATTATGATTAATCAATTTTCATTCTTCTAAATACTTGCGATCTGAAAAGCTCTAGCTTTTAACAAATAGGTTTGAATTTGCACTGTGTTATTATTTGGTCTTTATTGATCTTCATAAATTCCTCTGCCATGCCAAGGCCAAAAAAGAAAGGTAGTTTAAGGCATTTTTGAAGTAGGAACTTGGCAACAAAGTAACATTGAAAAATGAGTTGTACCCCAAGAATCACCATAACAAGAAAACTTCTAAGCTACCTGGTCGTAGTCAATATAGCCAGTGCTCTCATTCAATCTGTACGGCATTGTTTCAAAGAAGATCGACACAGCAGATATCTTTTTAGTGTCAGTCTGCACATTACCCAAAAAAAACAAGAAATTTAAAAGAAGGAATGTAGTTACTATCAAGTATTGAAGTAACAAAAATTGAAAAATTATAAACGGCATGAGATTCAACTTTCTTCAAAGTCAATAGATGTTACAAGAACAGTGATACTATTCTAGTGCAGCTATTTCAAGTTTCTAGAGAAAAAAGAACCTGCAGATGTTACAACAGAACAGAGGAAATATTTTCAAGTACACCCTTAGGTTTAGAATCAAAACAGATGAACACTGATTATAGACTGATTAGACATTTCATCACAGCAGAAACTGCTCACGGAAGTTGTAATTACCTGATAGCCATGAGAAAGATGTCCACCATGAGGAAGATCGAGTGCCATGATTCTGTCATGAGGTTTTAACAATGCAGTGTAAACCTGGAAATTAGCTGGAGACCCTGATAAAGGCTGCACGTTGACTGCAATATAGGAAGATGACATCATGTAAAAAAGAAAGCTTCTATGCGGTTAACATATATTAGATATTGCCTATGTTGCACCAATACGGATACGGGTACGGCGATATGATACGATACGCTGATACGGAAAATCTCCAAAAAATAGGATACAGGTACGACATTGATACAGTGATTAAAATAATATATATTTAAAAAAATAATATAAATTGAAAAATTGAAATTTGATATTTCATCCATAATAAGTTCAAAACATGAACAAAACACATAACTTCATTCAAATCTCCATAATCAAAGCACAAATTAAACAAAAACGCAAAATACAAAGTATCCATAAACAAAGCACAAATTAAAACATTAGAAATCACTTCTCAAATATCCATATGTATATTTTTCAAACAAATTTTAAATTAAAATATAAAAATATAAAAATATATTGTAGAATTTTAGATTTTCTTTATATTTTTTTAGGCTATATAACTTTTTTCACCCAAACATATCATTACCCAAAACCCATTAATACTATTTTAATGAAAGGCAGAACATTTCCTAATTCCTACCCTCAGTCAACGGCCAAGATTGGATCTATGATAAATCTAACGGTCAACTCATCTCTCCACCTGTCCTCTTGTGTACACGAGAAGCTCAAAGCCCAGCTCTCCTATCAGAGAAAATCAAGGGGAATGCTAATAACCTTCTCTCTAACCTTCTCTTTTGGACATTCTCCCTTTTTCTCACGACATATGTCACATTCCTTAAACTTAAAACAAGCTAACTTTTCTTTTCCAAATGTACCCTTATTGAATATTTTTATTCAGAAAATATTTCAACTTTTTTATCACTGTCCCACTATCACATTCTCTCTCTCTCTCTCTCTCTCCTCTCTCTCTCTCTCTCTCACCCAGACCTATCTTCATAACTCGAGAAATTATAGAATAGTACTGTACCACCACGTCAGCTGGTGATACTCCCTCTTAAAATTTAACACATGTCATTTTTTAAAGAAAATAAAAAAATTTGGATAGCTAGACTTTGACATCCGATTTTACCCTTTAGAATGAAATTTAAAAAACGAAAAAAAGAATGAACTCTCCCACCCTAGATGCAATTACCCTTGGCCGCCGCCGCCACCTCCTCCTCTATTTCTATTCCTCTGTCCATCTCTCTCATGTACAAACGACAATCTTATTTTATATCTGGTGTTTGTATGGGAATAGTACTAGCTGACGTGGGTGGACTATTCTGTAATCTCTCTCACAACTCCACCCATACCCATCCTCACACATGGACTCCATTGATTAAGCAAACTGACTCCTTTGCTTTGGCAAAGTCAACAAATGAAACTCCACAGCACCTTCTGAGTCTTTGCAAGCCTACTGCTTTTGCAGGAAAAAAAAATTTCCAGGTCCCTCCTCGTAACCCAAATTGAAAACCATTTGGAAGACCCCACCGTTCCTTCCTCCCTTCTCCATCGTCGCTGCCCTCATACCCCACCCACCCTCCGTGCAATTTCTCACCACACCCACCCCCACCCCCTCACCAATCTCTATGTATCGGTTCTAGCCCACCATCCTCCCTGAAAATTGGGTTTTTGCAAAATAACAAAATAAAAACATGACAAAATCATCATATTCATATTTTTGTTCAAAGATGTGTGAAGAAGGAGGTATTGTAAAATAAAAATATATATATATATCAAAAATGGGTGGGGTGGAAAATGGATGTGGCTGCTGGGTTTTCAATGGTGGGGGAGAAGTCGGGGTTGGGGTGGGAAAACGAAATTAATGGCTGGGGTGGGAGGTGGGGGTGGCTGCGCAGGTGGGAGAAGGAGAGATGAGTTGTTGGTGTGATCGTCGTGTTGACTGTTGGGTTTTACCGAAGGAGGAGGAGGAAGAGGTTGGGCGAGTTGGGGTGGGGATCGGGTGATTGAAGAACCCCTTTTTGATTGTTTATTATTTTAAAAAATAAAAAGTGCAAATACGGAAATACAATTAATGTTCTTTTGTGTAATTAAAATATTGGTTTAAGTGAGAGAGAAATGACACTTGTCATGAGTAAAAGAGAGAAGGTCCAAAAAAAAAGGTTAGAGAGAAGGTTGCTAGAATTCCCCTAAAGGCAAAGGGCCTCAAACGGTCTCACAAGTTCTCACAAAGTCTCTCTCTCTCTCTCACTCTCTATCTATCTCTCTAAGTCATAGCCAGAACCACAGAGCAAAAACCATGACTTTGTCTACATCTGTGACTCTGTTTCAAGCCCTCTTGGCTCGCGCCATTTCTCACCACGGCTCGAGCTCAACCTCAAATCTGGTCTCTCAACCTTGATGGAGTATCGGAGCCGTGTCGTAAAGTCAACAGGTCAGAAAAGTTTACGATACACGTGGCTTATCGGATATTGGGGCTGTATCGGATACGCGCATACCCCCAAAATCCTACGTATCGGTGCAACATAGGATAGTGCTATGCTAAACCTACTATGGGATTTCATTGACTTGAGTTAGGGGACTTGGTTTGTGCTCAACTTATTTAATACATCAAACTCTAGTACAGCAAGACAATACTGATTATAAATACAGGCTAACCCTACTGCACATATCTTTTTCATGGTAATTCTTCATGTTTTTTGCTCTGTGCCTCTTTTCTTCTCACACCTCCTATCTCTCCATCATCTTCTCAGTTTCTTATGGCTACACAATCCTCTTCCTCTTCCTCTTCTTCAATTGTCACTTCAACCTTTAATCCTCTACCTAATCCTAGTCTGTAGAATATTGCTAGTCTTGTTTCTGTAAAATTGGAAAGAAACAAATTTCTATTTTGACACACTTAGTACAGGCAACTGTATATTAGCAAAACATAGCCATCGAATCTTCAACCCCAAGCAGGCACTCATCTCCAATTACTACCTACATTATAGTATTCTCCAGCTTTTACTAACTTCTTGCAACTGATACGTTCAGTGGCTCCAGGAAGGTGATGAGAATGGTAATGTCTTTCACACAGTTGCAAAAAATAGTCATTAGAAGATATGTGATAGGAAGATAAAGCTAGAAGTTGTGTTGAGGACTAAAGATGCAATTTGGAGATGATGGTAGGAATTTTTTTGCGTAAGTTTTATCTTCTGAAACCAACTCCATTGATCTTCCAAGACATCCCAGGCCTAATTTTGGACTCATATAGTAACAAATAGCTGGAGACTGTTCATATAGATGTCATCCTCACTCATCTAGTAGATGTTTGAAAAGTGGCCTGTGAATGTGAAAATATGGTCCTGGTGAATGTTGAGATGCATACTGCCCGTGTCCAAATAGCTGGAGGCTGTTCACGAGTTATGCCATACGAATTTACCTCCCCATTTTGCTGGATCTAACCGAAATGCTTCCAAAGCACGCTTCTGGCATAAAGATTCTGCCATGTCAATGAACCTGAGAATTTGAAGAATTATTTCTTAATTAGTTTCTAGCCCAAAATAAAACATAAAGAGTTGACTATGTAAACACCCTGCTTTCAATCAAAGGGAATAGTTGGGAAGATTTCACAAACTCAGTTCCTCCATAGTATCTAGCACCGGGGTATCCTTCACTGTTTTTTTTCCCCATCACTGACCCAACTGCTTGCATCACAGACAGCGATGTGAAGTTCTCTGAGGGTATCAGCTCTAGCCCCTTCAGAAATACAACAAAGAATTCTAATGAGAGATGAAATTAAACAACATACCAAAACTTGATATCATGCTAAAGAGAAACTTGTTTCCATCATTTAAATTCCCACCACAAAATCATAGGAAATGGAAAGAGATAAAATTTTCTCAATTGTGGCCTAGATAAAATTTTCAACATAGACTACTAAAAGAAATCACTATTCACAAGTATAATTGTTCACTGAAAAATAGGCATCAAACCACATCATTGTCCATTCTAACAATCATTGTTCATAACAAAGTCTTGATTTTGATTACAGAGTAACAGCTAGCATACCTTCCATTGCCTGGTTTTCTCATGTTCAATGATGTCTGCAATTTCGGGATCCACAGCCTCTAGTGGAGCATTCAGTTCCTTAGGCAACTGTAAGATATAAAGTTCATGCTTTACTATTTAGAAACAAACCACATCAACACGCAAAAACACAAAGCAAAAGACCCAAGTCAGATTAAAAACTGGTTATAATGGGAACTTACTGTGACACCGGGCTTCCCCTTGTCGTAGACAGCTTCATTGGGCAAAGATGACTGTAAAATGAAAACAAGTAAGTGGGAAAGTGGTAAAATTATCAGACATTCAATGACAGCAAAGAACCCAACAACACAAAACAAGAGAAACAGTAGAAAGAACCCTGTAATAATGAGAGGTGGCGTTGAAGAGAGGGCGAATGGGCTTGTCCCCAGAAGAGGAAAGCCTGCGAAGCCTCAATGCCATTGCCATGCTGAGTTTTGTCTCACTCTTTGACTTCTGGGTTCAGTTGGGTGGGTGAGGTTTTGGTGGTAGTGATTTTTCCCTTTGTGGTTTTTGAATTATGGTGGGTTTTGTCCTTCTCCTAGGTGGGCTTATTCATGGTTGGTTGCTCAGTTCGACACCTGTTTTGTCTATAGCTTCAGAGTTGAGATTTCATTATCAACTACAAAGATTGGTGCTTTTGTAAACTTGTAACTCGATTATGTAAGGAAATGAATTGGTGTATGAGAGAGAGATATGAGACCAAAGCCATCCATGAAAGGCCCATCCAAAGTTCTCATTTCTCAGCCACAAAGGGACTCTCGCAGATATGGCGTGATCGGGTTTTGTGTATTTTGTGGCCACCGAAGCTTTTGAATTGTTCCTCCATGAGAGAGAGCGTGTTCACCCGTTTTGATTCAATCCTGTGATGGTAAGGTAAAGTTCCCCATTGGCCTGAAAACCATTGATGGTCAACAAGTCAACTTTCTTTGGTATGCGTGTGTGCTACTGCTAGCAGTTTTAAAAACCCTAACAGACTTAAGAAAAATAGATAACTTTAGCCCCAAGTTAGTGACTTTAAACAAGTGACTGTGAATTTGGGTGAGGAATATCTCCCAAGTAAGTTCTTTTCTTGCCTCAGACTGGTGAGGACTTCACAATTTATCACAATAAACTGGTAGTTCTTGCCAAAATGAATATTGAAAATAAATCAAACTGTTTCAAGAAAAACTGCCTATTACACAACTTTTAAGACAAAAGAGCATTGCCATGTCTGAAGGGACAACAGAGCATTGGGCTTCAATTTCTGCTAGGATTGTTGCCTATGACTCAGGCTAGACTGGGTGTAGCTATGCTGGATTCAAACGTCAGTACCTTCAACTGATGAGGTTCAGCTAGAAATCGATACCAATGTCGAGATTGGCAGAGCTTTTAATCTATTCTAACCATGGGGAGGCTTGCTGGATGGGCAGAATTGAGATTTCTTCGGTCTGGACGGGGCTAGAAGTAGTTGGATTGATGATTACCGACCTGGAGCTGCACTATAGTACCTATTATGCTTGATTATCCAACATCCAAGAGCTATTCTAGCAATTTTCAGAGCTCAAGGCATCTCCGTAAATTTGTTGAGGTTTTCATATTATGAAAAACCCGAATTCTGCTTGTTTCGGCTTGTGCTTGATTATGAATAATCAATAGCTATTCTGGCAATTTTGAGAGCTCAAGACATCTCTGTAAATTTGTTGAGGTTTCATGTTATGAAAAACCTGAATTTTGCTTGTTTTGGCTTGTGCTAAACCAAATTTGTAACAAAAGAAATCTCGTTTCCTTTGTAAATTGTTTTTCTGAATTGAACTGAAGTTAGAAACATGAGTTCTGGCTTATCTATCTTTTGTGAATCAAAGAGTTTGGTTGCTTCAGAGAAGACTTTTGACATCAACTGATCTTGTTTTGAATTTGTCAGTGTAACTTTGAGAGTTTTTGTTTTTACTAATTTTTTTTTTGGTTGTCTAACCCTGTTCACCTCCTCTCATATTTATAGAGAATCTGAGTGAGGGTTTTAATTAATATCTGGAGGGTAGATCTTTTTGGACAGATTTTCCTTTTTCAACGCAAAAGGGGGAGTTATTAATCTGGCAAAAAGAGCCATCAGCGGCCTATGATGGTCAGTTTGCTTTTTCTGGCAAACAACTCTCTCTTCTTGTCTTTTTTTTTAAATAAAACATGCTCTGATCCAGAGCTTTTATGAGCATGGAAAGAAAGCTTGGCCGCCCTTCTTTTCTAGTTTTTCAAATGATCATGGGGAGTATTCTTCTGGTTTAACCTGTTTTTATTAACTCCCCATTACTTCCTCTATCTCAGTTAAAATCTTGACTTTCAAAGTGACATGGGTTCTTTTGAGAAAAAAATCTTCCAAAATATCTATTGATTTGACGAGATCAATGGTGATGATCAAATCTTTGGGGCCTTTGGAGAGATTTTGAAACTGGGCCTAATCTAAACCTTAATTAGAAGCTGGCTTGTCCAAATTAAATCACCCTTTAATGGTAATTAATCTTTAATCTGTGATTTAAAGGGTCTGGGCCTTCAAGCCCACCTGAGCTGGTTTCTGATTTCAACAAAATGAAGCCTATACCTCTATTCCTGATGTGGGCCAATAATCAATTAGGCTGGCGCGTGGAATTTTGGCCCAAACAGATCACTTCACCAACTCAAATTTCATTTTCGCCGAGATGGTTAATAGGTTGGGGGTAAACTTACGAGAGAAAAATATTATTTTGCCAAAGTTATTTTCTTATATGGTAGAGTAATTTGGACCATACATTTCAAGTTCCAACAAACATTAATCATATCAACAAATTCGAGATAAATAAGAGAATACATATACTAGATCACTTTAGCTATTCCCTTTTCGGCTCAAGCGCCCCTTTATTCAAAGTGAGTTAAATTTGACTTTATGTTCAATTTGTGAGATGTAAGATGAATGTGGTGGTTATGGATTTCTTTAGGGCTATGATGTTTTTGAGGTTTGTGGGTGCTTGATCTAAAATGGGGCTTATGGGTTTGTTTAGGGCCATGATGTTTTTGAGATTTGTGGGTGTTTGATGTCAAATGGGGCTTATTTGAGTGGTTTTTGGGTGATCAAGTGGCAGTTTGTGTAAGGAGTTTGTCTTGTGAATATGCGGTTGTAGTTCTCCGATCATATTTGTGTTGTGCAATGAGTCTAAAGTGCGTGTTATGTGTTGGAAATTAGAAAGTTATTTGTTTCTTTTTATGTATTGATTGTAATTTATTGTAATTGATGTAGGAGTAGCCTCCAATTAACTTAGTATTCTTTGTAGGGTTTGTAAATCTTTGCATAAATACTTAGCCTTATGGCTTTATGGAGAATTATTCTTCTCAAACACAATACCAATTTGACATGGTATCAGAGCATTGATTCTTGGTGTCTCTTTGTTTTCTCTCTTACAAACCCTAGACGTCTAACTCACCATGGGCGACACTAGCAACAAAAACCATGGATCACACTGATCCATATTTTTTGCAATCCTCGAATCATTCGGGACTTGTTATTGGCTCTCAACTCCTTGATGAAGATAACTACAGCACACGGCACCGCACCATCACCATTAGTCTTAGTGCCAAAAACGAACTAAGGTTTGTTGATGGCACCATCAAACCTCTCTCTAAGAATGATTCCAAATACCCTTTATGGCATCGGTGTAATGATATGGTGATGGCTTGGTTGTTGAATGCTCTCACACCAACCCTCACTAACAGTGTCATCCATGCTGACACACTTGCTAAAGTTTAGAGTGATCTGCAAGATTGATTCTCTCTTGGCAACCTTCTTGGTGTTTTTCATATTCGGAGGACCATCGCTAAACACAAACAAGGGTAGCAAATCGTTTGTCAATACTACACCAAATTAAAATCCCTATGGGATGAACTAGGTTCTTATCAATCTATGCCACACTACACCAGTGGAGCCTTGAAGGTGTTGCAAGCAAGAGATGATGAAGAACAAGTCATACAATTTTTTATGGGTCTCAATGACTCATACACAGCTATTCGAGGCCATATTTTATTGATGTAAATCGTCCCTTCTGTTAAGAAGGCTTATTCCATGATTATGCAGGAGGAACAACAAAGAAAGTATGATAACACAATCCATATGACGTTGCTTATGCCATGAATGTGAGCAACAAACCGTACATGCCTCCCGACTCCTCCTCATCTAGCAATTCCAAAGCACAAGAAACCAACTCTTCCAAGAATATCGCTCTAAGAAGCAACTCACACAAACCTCTCTTTTGCACCTATTATGAGGATGCCACCCATCTTGTTGACATGTGTTTCTACTTACATGGTTTCCAACCTGACACAAACTTCATGGCAAAGATGTCAAGCCACCCAATTGCTCAAAAAGACCATCTACGACAAATCACACACAATCCACCCCACAACCTGCCGAAGGTCTCAAGTTCACCACTGAGGAGTATGCTCAACTCAAGTTTCTGCTTCATGATGGTAAATCTCATGCTAATTTCACAAGTAAAATACCCTCTTTATGTGCCATCATTGCCTTATCATCCACCAATCCTTGGATATTTGATAGTGGAGCCAACAACCACATTGCGACTCATTCTAGACTGTCTCTTACCAGTCCTCTCAACTCTATTGTTGATCTCCTTGATGGGTCTCATGCCAAAATCAGTGGCCTTGGTTCTTCCTCCCTTGATCCTAATTTATGTGTTGATGGAGTTCTCTGTGTGCCTTCCTTTCATGTTAATTTACTTTCTGATGGCAAACTTACATCTGACCTCAATTGCTTTATTCACTTTTTCCCAACCTTTTGTCTTTTATAGCATCTAGCTTCGAAGAGGATACTTGGCATGGGGAAACAAGTTAATAGATTATACTACTTGATCAAGAAAGAGAACATCACCACTGCACCATCCACATCCAACGCTACTACATGTCACCTCAACCCCACATTCGCGGCTCTCTGGCATCAACGTTTAGGTCACCCCTCCAAGGAACCATCCAAATGTTTGTCTAAAACAATTTCTAGAATTTTATTTGATTTGCAACATCATTGTGATGTATGCCCGTTAGCTAAGCAAACTTGTTTGCCCTTTTCTTCTAATTCAATAAAAACTACTCTTCCTTTTGAATTAATTCATTGTGATATTTGGGGTCCTCACTGCATTGCATCTCATTTGGGTGCTTGTTACTTTCTTACCATTGTAGATTATTGCTCATGATACACTTGGCTTCACCTCATGCATCACAAATCTGACACACAACAAATTCTCAAGAACTTCTTTGCTTATGGTCACAATCACTTTCATTATTATGTTAAAAGTGTTCGTTCCGATAATGGGACTAAATTTGTGTATATGACCTCTTTCTTTTATGGACACAACATCACCTTTCAACATTCATGCCCTTCCATTCCATAACAAAACGGAGTGGTTGAGCGCAAATATCGACACTTGCTTAATGTTGGTCAGGCCATTCAATTTAACGCTCAACTTCCCCTTCATTTTTGGGGAGAAAGTGTTCTCATAGCCACATACCTCATCAATAACCTTCCCGCACCTACTTTCAACAAAAAATACCATATGAGATCCTTCAGCAACCCCTCTACTTATGATTATCTTCGCATCTTTAGGTACCTTTGTTATGCTACCAACAATCCATGACCTTATAAATTTCCACCTAGGGCTTGTCGTTGTGTCTTTGTAGGATATCCATTGGGACAAAAAGCTGATAGGGTTTATGATCTTTCCACACACAAGCTTTTCTCTAGTTGTGACGTCGTGTTTCATAAACATGTCTTTCCTTACCACACTTTATCCTCAAACCCATCTCACATCACTTCCGCACCTTTTTCTAACCCTTTTCTCGAAAACTTTACCTCTAAAACACAACTAAACCCAACACAAACCTAAATAGCGCCTAGTCCCGAAAACTACCAAAAAGCGATTGACTACCCATCCCATAGTGATCGGTCATTTTCTTCCTGAGAACACCCAGCGCCTTCTAGCACTGGAACAATCGATCGCTCACCCAAAAAATGATCAATCGCTTTTTGACCAAGAGCACCCAAACTCTCCAACCACTGAATGGATTGATCGCTTTTCCTAAAGCAATTGATCAATCGACGACATCGAGCCATTTCCTGAGTCTTCCCCCCCCAGAGAATGTACCTCCACCTCCCCCTCATAGTCATAGCCAACATGTCTCTCAACCCTTTATTCTCTTACGTAATTTTCATTGTAATCAAGCTACAAATTGGCCATAATCTTCCCTTGTCCAACTATATTTCTTATGCATCTTTATCTCCTTCACACAAAACTTTTGTTAACACTATTTCAAGTGTTGTTGAAACTACTTCCTATGCTCAAGCTACCATTAACCCTCATTTGCGTGAAGCTATGGATTCAGAACTCTGAGCCTTGCCCAACATACTTGGTCTTTGGTTCATCTCCCACCCGACAAGCAGGCGATTAATAGCTGATGGGTGTATCGAATCAAGTACAATTCTGATGGTTCTTTAGAGCTCTACAAACCTTGCCTTGTTGCCAAAGTCTTTACTCAATGTGAAGGCCTTGACTATACATAAACTTTTGCTCCTGTTGTGAAATTGGTCAAAGTTCGTTGTTTATTGGCCCTTGTTTTTATTCATCAGTGGCCCATTTATCAGATGGATGTTCACAATACCTTCCTCCATGGTGATCTTTATGAATAGGTTTACATTACTCCTCCTCCGGGCCTTTTTCGACAGAGGGAGAGTAATTTGGTTTGTCGACTACGCAAGTCCCTTTATTGTTAAAAATAAGCACATCGTAATTGGTTTCACAAGTTTTCTGTTACCATTCAAAAAGCAGGGTTTACACAATCTCTCTAAGATTACTCTCTCTTCACTCGTATTTGTGGTACATCATTTACTGTTGTTCTAGTCTATGTTGATGACATGGTGATCACATGCAATGACAAGAATACTATATAGAATTTGAAGTCTTTTTCTTCAGAATCATTTTCATATTAAAAATTTAGGCCACTTAAAGTACTTTATTGGCTAAGAGATTGCAAGGTCAGAGTTGGGAATTGTAATCTCCTAATGAAAGTACACACTTGATATCCTTGATGATGAAGGTCTTTTAGGTGCTCAACCAGTAGACTTTCCTATGGAGCAAAACTTAAAGCTCACAAATAGTGATGGTGAAGTGCTCAACAATCCTTCGCGGTTTAGTTGATTGGTGGGACAATTAATCTACCTTACAATCACTAGACCTGAGATTACTTATGCAGTCAATATTCTGAATCTCCTAATGAAAGTACACACTTGATATCCTTGATGATGAAGGTCTTTTAGGTGCTCAACCAGTAGACTTTCCTATGGAGAAAAACTTAAAGCTCACAAATAGTGATGGTGAAGTGCTCAACAATCCTTCGCGGTTTAGTTGATTGGTGGGACAATTAATCTACCTTACAATCACTAGACCTGAGATTACTTATGCAGTCAATATTCTGAATCAGTTTATGCATCAACTGAGGAAACCACATTTGGATGTCACTTTACGTGTCCTTCGTTATCTGAAAGGGAGTCAAGGTCAAGGATTGCTTTTCTCTTCACAAAGCGAGTTACACTTGATAGCTTTTTCTTACTCTAATTGGGCAAACTGTCCCATGCATAGAAGATCCACATTAGGCTATTGTGTTTTTCTTGGGAATTCACTTATATCTTGGAAGACAAATAAACAGAAAACAATGTCTCGTTCCTTTGCTCATACGGAATATTGTTCCATAGCAGCTGTTACTTGTGAGTTGACTTTACGATCTCTTTTGACAGATTTAGAAGTTACCAATCCTGGTCTTGTAAAGTTGTTTGGTGATAACTAAGCAGCTCTTCATATTGCCTTCAATCCCAGTTATCACGAGCGAACCAAACACATTGAGATTGATTGTCATGTGATTCATGAGAAGATTCAAGCTGGACCGATTGTTGCCTCTTTTGTTTCATCTACATCGATCACTAGTGCGCAAATTGGGTATCCTTGATATCCATGATCCAACTTGATGTAGAACAAATGGCAGATTTTATTGCGGTTGAGCTAGAAAAAGGACGTAGCGGGAATTTGCAGATTTGTCGTCCGAGCTCCGATTAGGACGCAAAATACCATTTCGGAAAGAGAACGACGCCACGAGTCAAACCCACTGCTTTGCTGTGACGTATGATGGATTTTGGCATTCTGAGGTCGTTTGGCCTTCCAAACCCGCATTCAAAGTTTCGTAGTTAATTTTTGGAATAAATTCTGTTTTTCAGTTTTAATGTAATAACTCCCCTAGCAGCTCAAGGGTTGAGAGATGTGTATTTAGACTGATTTGGTGAACGTTTTTCATCATCTCAGATTTTAATAAAATTATCCCAAGAGAATTCCTCTTAATTTCTGGTGGAATCCAGATTTCTTGTTACTCAAGGTTTTCGTTTGAAACCTTTGTTGCTTGTGCTGCGTCACAACTTGAGGGGGAGTGTTGGAAATTAGAAAGTTATTTGTTTCCTTTTATGTATTGATTGTAATTGATTTAGGAGTAGCCTCCAAGTAATTTAGTAATCCATGTTGGGTTTGTAAATCTTTGTATAAATACTTAGTCTTTTGGCTCTATCAATATAACAAAGAATTATTTTTCTCAAACACAATACCAATTTTACATATAGTGTGTGGCAAGGTGTAGTTACACATTGCACAACAATATAAGTGTGTGAACGTTCACTAACTGTATAGCGTGTTGTTAAGAAATACAAACACATACTTTTGTCACTGTAAAAAGTTGAACTTACCAATACAAAAATCTTACTTCTTTTTCCCTCCTGAAAATTTTCAAGATGATCATTTGCAGATCAATTTATCATTAAATAAATACATAAAAACTAATATAGGTTGTGTAATGTGATTTGGGTTTTATAGAGTGAGAGCAAGTGATGGCTTTTGATGGCATTGTTTATACCTAATTTTTTCCCCTTCTCCCCCACAAAGGAAAGATGACGTGGTAAAGGCCCATTGGGTAAGATTTTGGGCCTAGAATCAAAAATACCCAGCCCAAAGTTAAAATAGAGGTTGAGCCTAAAAAGCCCACTATCACAACACAAAAAGCTCATACCAAGCGACAAGGCTTAGCTCTAGGTCTCAAAATAGGACCAACACTGTGTCCCAAAGCGTGAAACAATTTACTAAAACTTACGTGGTCCAAGGACCATAATTCAAAATCTCGGTCCAAGCCCCAGGGGACGAGCAGGGGGCGACCCAAGTTTTTAAATCCCAACCCAAACCTTTGAGCATGGTATGAAGTCTAACGAAAGTCAAAGCTCGGAATTTGTTCCTTGCTCCAGAGGGTCTCGCCCGAGTAAAATTGCAAGCACCGACTGAAGAAGGGATTTCACGCAAACCATCTCAAGAGAAGCGCCGCACACCAAAAGGAATGAGGGGACGTCGAGCTACTTCTTGCAACTTGAGATGAATATAGAGTAGAAGCCTCGGAACTTGAAGAGAAGGTGTGAGAAAAAAGCAACCTCGAAACTCGTGATCGAGGTAGAATTCAACGGTAGGTTGACAGCTCACGCAAGCTTTAGGCGGTGGCCATATATCTTGGCACCTTTTGAATAGGGTGATTTTCACCTATAGCTAGTAGAACAATTATAATTTTTAAGGATCCAATCTCTCAACAAAAAAAGCAAGCCAAAATGTTGTTCAAAGTTCCCTAAACTAGACTTAGAAATTTTTATATAGCTTTCTTTGGATTCACCGTACCATATCACCAAGAACTCTGATGCTTGTTCAAAGTTCTTGAGCGCCGCCATTTTTATTGTGCATTAAATATATCAACAAGCAACTTTGTTATTCATAGTTCATTTGAGCAACATTTGATTTATCTTCTTTCATTTAGTTTTTGTTTCATTTCGACTCAAATAAGACTTGAGAGATCACTTGACAATCGAAGACAACATTACCGAGCATGGCAGTACCAAACACTCAACACGACGCTATACAAGTAGCCTTGTTACCAAGGCTAAGAACCCAACGACCGAGAAAAAGTTTCTAACTCGGCCCAGATCGCTTGATTAGAGGTCTAGACCAAGGCGTTCAACATCATCATCATCTTTGTTTTCACGGCCATCAAAGATTGTGGGAGCTGGCACGCCGCATAAACACTCACACCAAGATGGATGACTTTGTTCCTAATTCTGCTTGGCCCATCGATTATTTTATTTTAGATAATTCACCCAAGTGGCCGAAAAGATTTATTAGAGGTCAACATTAAAGTCTAGATAAATAGCAGTTCACTAGTTCATGTTTAAAGATGGTGATCAAGTCAATGAGGTCTGGCCCAAAAAAGGGCATTGACTAGTTTGAACCGCTATCGCACCTTGGTAGTGCATGTGTGTGAAAAGCCTGTAACACCCCGACCCCAAATTATCCCATGTTTTAATTTATTTAAGTGGAATTGAGAAATTACCCGTGGGATAAGGGTATTTTAGTCATTTTCTTGCCCGGAAGGAATTTGGGAATTTCGGATGTACCGTTGCGTAGGGCACGGCGAGATGAGTTCGTAGACATGTAGTGGGCTCGAATCGGAGTTGTAACGAGAGAGATATGATCAAAAGAAGCTCAGTGGCAAAATCGTAAATATTTGGAAAATGGAATTTTGGTTAAAAGACGGAATTGCCCCCGTCTCTCAGACACTCTCTCTCTCCCGCGCGTCCTTCTCTCTCTCCTCTGGTTCGCGACCGCCACCACAGCCGGCCACGTTTTGGCCGGCCGTTCAGTCATCCGGCCACCACTCGGGTCGGGACCGGTCCCAAAATGACCGGCCTGACTCCGCCGTCCTACCCCAGCCGGTTCTCACCGCCAGCCGCCGGGATTTCGCCGGAAAATCGAAGAAAACAGCCCGGTTTCGCCTGAAACTTCGCCGGCTTCGTTCTCCGTCGTCCGGCCACCGATTCCGGCAAGTGAGGTATGATTTCTCACCTATTTTCCGAGCTCTAGCTGATGGTTGGGTAGGATTTCATAAATTTTGAGGCTAAGTAGCTCGATCTACGGATTGAAATTCGGCCGGTTTTGCGATCGCGATTCCGGCCACTTCCGGTCAATTTTTGGGGTAAGCCCAAGAACAAAAGTGACTCCAAATTAGGTGTATTACCTAGGGTAGGAGTCTGGGCTCATGATTTGGAAGTTTTCCGGCGATGGGTATCGCTTTGGACACCCACGCGCTGCCGGCGCGTGTGGCGGCGCGTGGGCACTGTAGCTGAGGGGCATTTTTGTCCCAATGTGATCCTCAGGTTGTCATGAGCGCGTAGGTGTGCTCGGATCTCAATTTGGATATTGTTAGAGTCCCGAACGGATATCGCATATCGCGTGTTTTCCGGGTTCGCTGGGTTTGGACCGTTGGATGGTCCTGATATTATAATATGTTGATCTAGGTATTACCAGGATCATGTAGGATTTGACGGATCGTAAAATGGAGTCCCGGATACTCCGGAAATGCCAACCCTGGGGTTAGGGTTTTAGTAACCGTCCGATCGTGCGATCGTGAGCGATCCGACCGTCCGATCTGGACCAAACTTACAGGACGTGTGTCCTAGACCTTGTAGACCCTATAGGAACTGTCAGATCGGAATTTGGAGGTTGTGGGCCCCGCAAGCCCGTTTGACCCTAGGTTGACCGTGAGACTTCCGAGATAGTCTTACCTTTATTTGAGGGTTAGAATGACCTTAGTGACAGGTCTTGAGCGTTGTCGAGTTAAATGGATATTGTGGGTTTAGGATATAAATTGGTGAATTTAAATGGGGGAGTTTATGGAATGTTTTATTGGTTGATGTTATTGTATGATTAGAAATTATATGATATATCTAATTGTGTGGTTGTGTAATGATATATAAGGAGATTGAATGTTAGTATACAGTGCTATACGCACTACCCCACGTACCCCACATATGGTGAGAATGTAGCCAGACCCAAGTGATAGTGTGAGGTCGCACGCGTCTTTGGGTTAGCCGGCGTGTTGACAGGCCCCGTACGTGGCCGGGTACGTCCCGACGTATGAGTGGGTGATATGATGGTATAAGGGCTGGTGAGAATGTAGCCAGGCCCAGTGTGAGGTCGCACGCGTCTTTGGGTTAGCCGGCGTGTTGACAGGCCCCGTACGTGGCCGGGTACGTCCCGACGTATGAGTGGGTGATATGATGGTATAAGGGCTGGTGAGAATGTAGCCAGGCCCAGTGTGAGGTCGCACGCGTCTTTGGGTTAGCCGGCGTGTTGACAGGCCCCGTACGTGGCCGGGTACGTCCCGACGTATGAGTGGGTGATATGATGGTATAAGGGCTGGTGAGAATGTAGCCAGGCCCAGTGTGAGGTCGCACGCGTCTTTGGATTAGCCGGCGTGTTGACAGACCCCGTACGAGGCCGGGTGCGTCCCGTCGTATGAGTGGGAGATATGATAGTATGATGGCTGGTGAGAATGTAGCCAGGCCAAAGAGAACAGTATGATGGCTGGTGAGAATGTAGCCAGGCCCAGCGAGAGGTCGCACGCGTCTTTGGATTAGCCGGCGTGTAGACAGACCCCGTACGAGGCCGGGTGCGTCCCGTCGTATGAGGGGAGCTATGTGATTATGTTGGGTGTGTTGTGATGGATAAACCCGAGAATGTATGTATTTATATGGATGAAATGGTTTAATTGATGTCAGGAGCCAGGATTGATAGGAAAGAGCTACGTGTGGCTTGATCCCTTAGTAGGGTACGTAGGCAGCCTGGGATAGCGCCTAGGTGCAGCCACGACTTAGACACCACTTAGGTGGTTTTATCGAGTATGATGCGGACCTCGTGGTTGGTCCCGAAACTTGGTTGAATTGAGGCTTGTCCGGTGGACTGAGTGAGTGAAGGTGTGCATAGAGAGATTTGGAATTTGTTATATGCATGGTTGATGCATGAAGTTATTTTGAAAACAGTGTGGCAGTCTGCTAGAATCATTTGAAGGCCGGAGGCCATTGATGTAAATTGCATGAGATTATATTGTGCGTGCTGCTGGTTGGGTTATAAAATGAGTTTTATGCAGGTGGAACTTTTGGGGAATATTCAATTTACAGGGGAGACTCTGCCGAATTTTCGGCAGAAAGTCTCGTGCCCTTAATCCTCTATGGTGAACGAGGACGTAGATTTAAGGAGTAAACCCGGCGTGGGTGTGATGCCGGGGTCTCCGCAGGGTTCGTCTCGGGTTCCGGGAAATTCGGGACGGGTCCTGTCAGCTTGGTATCAGAGCTTAGGTTCAATTTCTTGTGGACCCCACACCTTGTGTGCATCCTTAAGTTGTGGGATCATGATGGGTTCCGTCACGGGACGTCATCATTTTGACGCAGAGGACTATTTGACATGGGTGGATTTAGGATGTTGAGGATTACACTTAAGGGTGTCACGTTCCTAGAAACGTGTCTATCCAAATTGTCGCATCTCAATATCCTATGGAAGGAAATGGAGGAGTTGTGAGTCCGACCAAGGAGGGTCGCGACAAATTAAGTTGAGAAGTAGTAGTGTTGGATGAAGTTTGTAGAGTTCTTATGGGCAGGAGGACATGGAGTTGATCAATCTACTTCTGGGGATCCTCCATTGCCTGAACATGTTGCTAATCCTCGATTGTGTGCAGTGAGCACGTTTGAGCAGAAATCTTTCATCGGAATCAGAAATGGGTCATGGTAGAGAGAGGAAGATGATGATTACAATTCGGTAAAAATGATCCTTTCTGACATTCCTCTCAAAGAATCGTGTTGGCAATGTTGCTTATCGATTCTAAAGAAAGAAGGAAGATATCAACAAGTCAAGGAGTTTGGACTTCTCCTCGTGGGAGAGCTAGAAGAGAATCAAATCACAAATGGAATGGCTTGGCTGCCAACTTGGTTGTGGAGGATGAAGCATGGGAACCCGAGTAGTAGATGCGGGCCTAGTACCCACACCCTTTGAAGTGGCATGTATGAAATTTCGGGGACGAAATTTTTATAAGGGGGGTAGTATGTAACACCCCGACCCCAAATTATCCCATGTTTTAATTTATTTAAGTGGAATTGAGAAATTACCCGTGGGATAAGGGTATTTTAGTCATTTTCTTGCCCGGAAGGAATTTGGGAATTTCGGATGTACCGTTGCGTAGGGCACGGCGAGATGAGTTCGTAGACATGTAGTGGGCTCGAATCGGAGTTGTAACGAGAGAGATATGATCAAAAGAAGCTCAGTGGCAAAATCGTAAATATTTGGAAAATGGAATTTTGGTTAAAAGACGGAATTGCCCCCGTCTCTCAGACACTCTCTCTCTCCCGCGCGTCCTTCTCTCTCTCCTCTGGTTCGCGACCGCCACCACAGCCGGCCACGTTTTGGCCGGCCGTTCAGTCATCCGGCCACCACTCGGGTCGGGACCGGTCCCAAAATGACCGGCCTGACTCCGCCGTCCTACCCCAGCCGGTTCTCACCGCCAGCCGCCGGGATTTCGCCGGAAAATCGAAGAAAACAGCCCGGTTTCGCCTGAAACTTCGCCGGCTTCGTTTTCCGTCGTCCGGCCACCGATTCCGGCAAGTGAGGTATGATTTCTCACCTATTTTCCGAGCTCTAGCTGATGGTTGGGTAGGATTTCATAAATTTTGAGGCTAAGTAGCTCGATCTACGGATTGAAATTCGGCCGGTTTTGCGATCGCGATTCCGGCCACTTCCGGTCAATTTTTGGGGTAAGCCCAAGAACAAAAGTGACTCCAAATTAGGTGTATTACCTAGGGTAGGAGTCTGGGCTCATGATTTGGAAGTTTTCCGGCGATGGGTATCGCTTTGGACACCCACGCGCTGCCGGCGCGTGTGGCGGCGCGTGGGCACTGTAGCTGAGGGGCATTTTTGTCCCAATGTGATCCTCAGGTTGTCATGAGCGCGTAGGTGTGCTCGGATCTCAATTTGGATATTGTTAGAGTCCCGAACGGATATCGCATATCGCGTGTTTTCCGGGTTCGCTGGGTTTGGACCGTTGGATGGTCCTGATATTATAATATGTTGATCTAGGTATTACCAGGATCATGTAGGATTTGACGGATCGTAAAATGGAGTCCCGGATACTCCGGAAATGCCAACCCTGGGGTTAGGGTTTTAGTAACCGTCCGATCGTGCGATCGTGAGCGATCCGACCGTCCGATCTGGACCAAACTTACAGGACGTGTGTCCTAGACCTTGTAGACCCTATAGGAACTGTCAGATCGGAATTTGGAGGTTGTGGGCCCCGCAAGCCCGTTTGACCCTAGGTTGACCGTGAGACTTCCGAGATAGTCTTACCTTTATTTGAGGGTTAGAATGACCTTAGTGACAGGTCTTGAGCGTTGTCGAGTTAAATGGATATTGTGGGTTTAGGATATAAATTGGTGAATTTAAATGGGGGAGTTTATGGAATGTTTTATTGGTTGATGTTATTGTATGATTAGAAATTATATGATATATCTAATTGTGTGGTTGTGTAATGATATATAAGGAGATTGAATGTTAGTATACAGTGCTATACGCACTACCCCACGTACCCCACATATGGTGAGAATGTAGCCAGACCCAAGTGATAGTGTGAGGTCGCACGCGTCTTTGGGTTAGCCGGCGTGTTGACAGGCCCCGTACGTGGCCGGGTACGTCCCGACGTATGAGTGGGTGATATGATGGTATAAGGGCTGGTGAGAATGTAGCCAGGCCCAGTGTGAGGTCGCACGCGTCTTTGGGTTAGCCGGCGTGTTGACAGGCCCCGTACGTGGCCGGGTACGTCCCGACGTATGAGTGGGTGATATGATGGTATAAGGGCTGGTGAGAATGTAGCCAGGCCCAGTGTGAGGTCGCACGCGTCTTTGGGTTAGCCGGCGTGTTGACAGGCCCCGTACGTGGCCGGGTACGTCCCGACGTATGAGTGGGTGATATGATGGTATAAGGGCTGGTGAGAATGTAGCCAGGCCCAGTGTGAGGTCGCACGCGTCTTTGGATTAGCCGGCGTGTTGACAGACCCCGTACGAGGCCGGGTGCGTCCCGTCGTATGAGTGGGAGATATGATAGTATGATGGCTGGTGAGAATGTAGCCAGGCCAAAGAGAACAGTATGATGGCTGGTGAGAATGTAGCCAGGCCCAGCGAGAGGTCGCACGCGTCTTTGGATTAGCCGGCGTGTAGACAGACCCCGTACGAGGCCGGGTGCGTCCCGTCGTATGAGGGGAGCTATGTGATTATGTTGGGTGTGTTGTGATGGATAAACCCGAGAATGTATGTATTTATATGGATGAAATGGTTTAATTGATGTCAGGAGCCAGGATTGATAGGAAAGAGCTACGTGTGGCTTGATCCCTTAGTAGGGTACGTAGGCAGCCTGGGATAGCGCCTAGGTGCAGCCACGACTTAGACACCACTTAGGTGGTTTTATCGAGTATGATGCGGACCTCGTGGTTGGTCCCGAAACTTGGTTGAATTGAGGCTTGTCCGGTGGACTGAGTGAGTGAAGGTGTGCATAGAGAGATTTGGAATTTGTTATATGCATGGTTGATGCATGAAGTTATTTTGAAAACAGTGTGGCAGTCTGCTAGAATCATTTGAAGGCCGGAGGCCATTGATGTAAATTGCATGAGATTATATTGTGCGTGCTGCTGGTTGGGTTATAAAATGAGTTTTATGCAGGTGGAACTTTTGGGGAATATTCAATTTACAGGGGAGACTCTGCCGAATTTTCGGCAGAAAGTCTCGTGCCCTTAATCCTCTATGGTGAACGAGGACGTAGATTTAAGGAGTAAACCCGGCGTGGGTGTGATGCCGGGGTCTCCGCAGGGTTCGTCTCGGGTTCCGGGAAATTCGGGACGGGTCCTGTCAAAGCCTCTCTCCCCTTTGTAGTTTTCGAAAAGAAAAAGAAAAAGAAAAAGAAAAAGATGATGATTAAAACCATGATATAATTCCCACTTCAAACTAGTGATAGTAAATATGGTAAAGAATATAGTCCAGAGGAAAACCCGCTAATAATTGAAAAACATAGACATGAGTTAGGCCAGTTGGCTGATAACTCCATATTTGTGCTTATTTTCTATACCCTATTTCTATGATTTGCATTAGTTTCTTATGTGAAATTGGTTGTTTTGATGTATTTAGTCTGAGTTTTGTAGGAAATCGTCCCTAAAGTTGAGTTGGAGCTAAAAAGAGAAAAATATGGTGAAAAATAGCAAAGAATGCAGAAATTTGGAATTAGCAACTTGGAACCCAAGAAATTATCTGTGCAGATGGGCCAACTTTGCGGATTTAACTGTACATGCTCAGGAAGCATCAGATAACTTTCTTTAAATGTTTGGAAAGCTCTAGAAGTCTAGTTTTGGAGAATTTTACAGTTCGTGATTTCGAGGTTTCTAGAAAAAGTTACATCAGTTTGAGTACCAGTGGGTCAGTTCTGGAATTATGCGCGAGTTTTGACAACTTAGCATCACAAGTTACCCTTCTTGGAAAGCAAGCTTTTGGACGTCCTTGGGCAGTTATGAGGCACCAAAATATTTTGTTAATTCAATTATAAGTTAGCTATTTTTGCTGGGATGGTTAGCGTTTGGTCTGGTCAAAGGAAGTGCATCAAAAGTCAAATCCTAATCATGTTTGGAGAACAAATTCCCTATTCTAGATGGATTTAATTCCTATCTTTTCTCCAAAACCTAGAAGCTAGCCTATAAATACATCTTTTGGACCAGCTGTGAGGGGAAAACCTTAGCGTATTTTCAAGATCTCAAATCAATCAATTCACATACTCACTTTTTTAGCTGTTCATAGCCTTCAAGATTTGCCGGAGTAGGAGTTCAACTACAGTGGATTCATCTAAGGGTTTTTTCTATCTTAATTCAAACTTTGTATTTTATGTTCATAAGTATATTGTTTGTTTCTAAGATGGCTATGGGTAACTAAATTATTTGCTAGGGATCCGATGTAACCTAACATGATGATTCTATGTTATTGAGTTAATATCTTATTTTTAATCAATTCATATTCCTTGTTTCATTCATTATTACAATTGTGATCTTGATACTTGTAATTGGCTGTTATAGATATTTTAGATTGTCTAAAATAAGGTTGGGCTAGGGGTTCATCCCTAATCTTATATGCACTATGAATGAATGAGTTGTTAAAGCCGGGTTTCAAGCTAAGACACTTCTTGGTTCTTGATTGTTCTTCGTAAACTTAATGGGTTCTCGATTAAATTTGGCTACAGGGTTCATTAGTTGGGTTTATTGACGATACTTGGTGACACAACGGCCAAACAAATCATCATAATAAAGAAAGAACGAACCCTCGGAATTGAATTGGAACTTTATTATCAAAATCAACTCAATACATAGAATAGGATTGTTATGGTGAAGTCAGAATCTTAGTTTTCATTCATTGATTTTCAAAATCAATTTCCAACCTTTGTTAATTTTATTTTTTTGATTTTCAACACTTAGATTAAAATTAAGTAATCTTATTTTCGGCTATTTTAGTAGTTGTAATATTGCGTTTTATTTTCTATATTTCTTAAGGTATTCGTATTTGGAATTAATTGATAAACTTTACAAATCTCAGTGGGAACGACTCTCGTATTTACTTGCTATACTATCATATCGATTCGTGGACTTGCAAGGTATAACTTTTGTTCATCGTTGGCCAAGGTAGTGAGCTCACCCTTCTAGCACTCACTACTACAAAAAGGGAAAAAGATGAATAGAAAACAACGACGATATAAATAAATACCGTCGATGTGTTTAGAAAGACAACGGTAATAGAAAACCGCCATGGATAAGTAACTTAAACACCTAAAAAAATCAAGATCCGCTTGGGTATTTATAAAACATGACGCACCGAACTTAAAAGGCATCATCTTATTAAACATGTTTCTCAAGACATGAACTCTTAACCACAAAAACAACGACAGCAGGTATGAAGCTACCAACATAGAAAGTAAAGACAATGTTTTACAAAAACTGCCGCCGTGTTAACTTCTAGTTAAACACGACCAACTATTCTTAATCAACGTCGTATAATTTTAATGGAATCCACGTCGGTAGATTCGTAATCAACACCGTATTAAAGTCATATACCACGACGGTAAAAATAAATTTATCGACGTATTACGACGTCATGTACTACAACGGTATTTACTACATTACTGTCATATAGAGTATAAGCGAACCACGGCACCCGTAACGTAGATAACGACGTCTAAATATAAAAATATCCACGTCATAATTTTAATATTTCAAGATGTATTAAGTTAGTACACTACAACGATCTGTATAAATAAACAGTCGTGGTAAATGTCATTTACCACTTCGTTATTTAGAATATAGCGTTGGGTTGTTTGTACGTAACCACGTTGGTATCTTCACTTATAGCGTCATATAATATTATTTTTCCACTTCGTTAATTGAAAAATACTATCATCTCTATGTCCTTTAGACGACTATCCTTCTTTGATTATCGTTGTCAGAAATTTGTATTGCTTTTTAAGATTTATTTTCTGGATTTTGGTAGCCTACGATGGTAGATCAACAAAATGACAAGTATGGAGTAAAAAAAGGACGGTTTATATAGAAAATTGTCGTATGAGATATATTTTTTGACTTTTTTACTAAATGAAATCATCAAAGAAATGCAAATGAGATCCCAAGAGATATGAAATCTTACCAGTGGGAGCTAGGTTCCTCATCACAATCGAACCACCAACATGAGAAAGACAATATTTTGAAAGTTAATGATGTGTGTGTCATCAATATTTTGGACCTTCAGAGAGGTGAGAGAGACACACACATAAACTTCCAAATTATTACCTCCCACCCAAATCCGGACCTTCATAGAGGTAAAGAGAGCCAAGGGCGTATGCGAATTGTGTTAGAGTTGGAACTCTAATTGAAAAGTTGTTCACCCATTTTATATTTGTTCCTGTGATGGAAGGGTAAAGTAGATAACTTGCGCCCCAAGTTATTGATTTCTAAACAAACGATTGTGAATTTGGGTGAGGAATATCTCCCAAGTAAGTTTTTTTCTTGCCTCAGACTGGTGAGAACTTCACAATTTTTCATAGTACAAGATAGGTAGTTCTGGCCAGAATAAATGGTAAGAAGGTGAACTGTTTTCAGGCGGAAATGCCTCTTACAAAACTCAACAGGAAGAAACCAACTCTAGAAAGACAAAAAGAAGGTTGGACTTCCATTTCTGCCTGGATAGAAGCTTCTGATCCGGGCTAGACTGGGCATGCATCTGCTGGACTGAACTATCAACAACTTCAACTGCTAAGCTTCAGCTGTAAATCGATACAAACGTTCGAGTTTGGTAGAGTTTTAATCTATTTCAAGCCTTGGAAGGCTTTTTGAACGGGTAGAATTGGGGCCTCTTCAGTCTGGAGAGGGCAGAAGTGGCTAGACTTTGAGGATTACTGAGCTGGAACTGCACTGTGGTACCTGTTCTACTTGATAGGGCATAAATTTGTTGAGGTTTTCATATTTGTAAAAACCCAGACTTTGCTTGATTTGGCTTTTGCTGAACCAAATTCGTAACGAGAGAAATCCCGTTTTGAATGACTTATTTCTCTAAGTCTGAAACTGAAAGTTTTGATTTGTAGTTGGTTTCTTTCTTGTGGCTTAATGAGCTTTTGATTGCTTCAGTTTGTTTGAAGGTTCTTTGGGATCAAGTGATCATTTTGAGTTTGTCTTTGATTGATTTTTTGTTGTTGTCCTTTGTCTTGTTCACCCTCTCTTGTATTTATAAGAAATGTTTTGGAGTGGGGTTTCTAATTCTTTTAATAATGGGAGGCAAAAATTCTCAAAAGATCTTTCATTTTTAAATGCAAAGAAAAGGGGATTTTTTCAATTCTGGCAGATAAGCCCTCAATAGTCAGTTCTAAGGCAATCACTTCCCTGTATTTCTTGAAAGGAAACCTAAACCTTTTTCAATTTTAACTGCTCTTCGTAAGAGCTCAAACTATGATGGTTAATTTGATCTTCCAAATGAACAACTCCCTGCTTCCCACTTATCTTTTTTTGAAAATATAACATGCTTATCCCTTGGAAATGATGTCTTCCGAATTTTTTTTTATATAGAAAAGGATTTTGATCTTCTTCTCTGTCTGTGACAGACTGGGGAAATCTTCCTGCAAGAGTGCCTTCACTAATTTCCTGTCAAATTCCTTTGTGACTAGTTGAAATTGTTGACTTTTCAAAGTTTTAGGTAATCACGTGGGCTTCTTTGAGAACAGGTTCTCCAGAAAAAATCTGCCAAATTGTTCCTGGGCTTTTTGAGAGAAATGGTAGGTTTTTGTAATCTGGGCCCAATTCAATTATTTTTTTTTATTGATCTGCTTAGTTGTAACCGCCATTTAATTTTGCATTTTTTACAATTCTACCATTTTCGAAAAAGACGTGGGTTTCTGACGTGGATTGGGCTCTCTCTTGTTTTGGTAATTGAAGCCCAATTCTCTGCTCTTTTCTGTTTTATGGTCCTTTCTTTGCGAAGATGGGCTGGTGCTTTTTAAACTTCTTTTGCCCCAAACAAAGTAAGAGTGAAGAAAAGCCTCAATTTATCTTTACATCCAAGAGTTAAAGAGCGTCGGGGTTATTCAAACTAACCATGGCAGTTTATTCATAAATAGCGTCGTATCAACTTATATACCACGTGGACCAAAATAATCCTTTATCATGTAAAATTGTAAATAACCACAACGATTTTTTTAAAACAAGCGACGTATTAACTAAAAATACCACGTCAGCACATGTAAAATTTTGTCGTGTAAAATTTTAAATAACCACGTCGGTTTCGGAATACTAAAAGTCGTTTGACTTTATTATAAACCATGTCAGTTTCTACTGGTTTTGTGTCGTTTTAACTACATACTAGGGCCTTTTTTATAAAAATCGTCATGTTCTGAAACTTTGCGATTCTATATAAACTTTTCGTCACCTGACCTAAATTTTAAATTTCTCTCTAACCAATAAAATATTTCACTTTCCTCTCAGTTTTCCTTCCCAAAGCGGTGTGTCTGAATATCGTCATCTTCCTCTCCTCCTCGTCTTCATCTCCAAATCTCCAAAGGTTACATCGGAAGCAAACTTTCTTTGCACGCCAAAGGTTTTTTCTCACTTTTTTTTTTTATCAAAATCATTTCTAATTTTGATACCATGAAAGAAAGTATCTGGAAACAAGACTCCTTTTCAAAATAACAAGTCTTTCATTATTTTGAATAATATCAGTAGTCTCTCACTCTCACAACGTGTTAAGACGACAGTTTTGTCTTGTTTACGTCGTTTTAATTAACACACCATGATGGTAATTAACTCCGTGCTATTGCAAATAGCACAACGGTAATTGATCACCGTCGTGGTGTGAAACTTAAAACGTCGTAAACAAGACAAAATCGTCGTCTTATTACGAGTAAAATACAGAAACAATCATGGGAGAGAGAGATTTGACTTTTTTTCCTGTATTTACTCTTAATAAGACGACTGCTTTTTCTTGTTTATGTCGTTTTATTTGTCATACTAGGGCAGTAGTCCTTATCTACCGACGTTTGAAATCTAATATTACGTCGTGTTTTTCAAATAACTGTCGTTTTTTTCACTTGCAGGTTATATTTCTCTCTAAACATGGTTTCTAAATCTCAAAGTTAGGAGGCTCAAGTTTCTAAATCTGAAATGAATGAAGACAAAGCAGTTCAAAGCAAAAACTCGAACAAGATGAGATTTACTTCAACTACTGAGAAAGACCGTAGATCAACGACATTTGATGAGGAGCCAAAGTCGACCCGCGGTATCAACACAATGAGCCATGTTTTGAAGAGGAAAATCCAGAAGATTAAACCCGTAGTTAAGTACAATAAAAGGGGCATACCACATGTCAAGGCTGCTATAGAGATGCAATAGTATATTGGTGTTTTGACACGCACCAGAGTCACTCTTGTGGACAAGAAATGGACTCAATTGCCCAAGGATATAAAGGAGTAGATTTGGGAAGCTGTTCAAATGGCTTATGTTGTTGGGCAAGGGGGCAAGAAGATGGTGCTATCGTCTGCCGCCAAAAATGGAAGGATTTCAAGTCTACCTTAACGAGGCAGTTTATCATTCCATTCACAAATGACAAGGACAAGTTAAAAGAACCCCCTCAACTATATCAATTAATAGAGAAATCAGAATGGTATGCCTTTGTAGCTTCAAGGTTATCCCCAGAATTTGTGGCTGTGCATACTGAACAGTCACAGAGAAGGGAAAAATGCGAGTACAACCATAGGTTGTCTCGAAAAGGGTATGTTGGTTTAGAGGATCAATTAAAAGAAACCATGCCCAATGAAGAAATTGATTGTTCTCTATTATGGAGGAAGGCTAGAGAAGATAAACAGGGAAACATCCCTGATCCAAAGGTTGTAAAGAAAGCAAAATTAATCGTAAGCCTCACTCACTCTGTTTTAAATCTGAAAAACAGAGAATTTTAATTTCATTAGACTTCGTTTGTTTTTTAACCAATGTTAGAAATGACACACAAAGACTGTTTTTATTTACCGTCGTTTGAAAATCCATAGTACGTCGGTTTTTTCAAAAAATCGACGCCTGGATTGAATATCATGACGGTTTATATTTTTGAGTTAGTCATTTTATTTTAAATGTTTTAGAAGATATGTTCATTTACTCACACTCTCTCTCTCTCTCTCTCTCTCTCTCTCTCTCTCTCTCTCTCTTTCTCTGCAATTGGTTTTTACTCTATTTCTAGTAAAGAATGCGTATTTTCTGTGAACTTTTTTAATCTCTGCATTTGAATTATACGATGGTTTTTTGTCTGCCGATACACAATGACAGTATTTGTTTACTGCCGTTTGAAATTCCATACTACGTCAATTTTTTCAAGAAAACGTCGTCTTCAGTAAAATACCACGACGGTTTAGATTTTTTTTTATTTAGGGTCATTTTTATTTTATTTGTTTTACAAGCTATCTTGATTTACTTACACACACACACTCTATATATATATATATATATATATATATATCTCTCTCTCTCTCTACAATTGGTGTTAACTCTATTTCTGATAAAGAATGCTAATTTTCTGAGAACTTTTTAAACTTATCCAATTATATCCCTTTCATATTAATCATTATTTAAGCTGTTTCTTATATGTTACATTCGTCCATTATTTTTATTCAACAAAAGAATATCTATCTAAACTTATTCAGTTACCTAGACAAAACTAATCTATATTAAAGAAAAATCTAACACGAGAAATTCTACAAATCATACTTCACCAAATTGAAAGATGGTAGTCAAATTTAAGCAAACATAACCTCAATAGCCTATTACTAGTTTGTGTAGGTGTTTTTATCAAGCATATCAAGAAGTAGATCAATAAACACTAAAGCCGAACTTCATTTTCACCTTCCTTAGGTACCTTTTTCACATTATTAAATAAGGCATATATAATTATTAATTACAAATATAAAACTAAAAAAATAACAAAAATTAAAAATTAAAAAGCATATTCGAATAAATATAATTAAAAGAAATATATTTAAATAGTATAGCCGCGCAGCAATACTATTTAAATATATTAATATTTAAAGAGTATAGCTACGCGACTATACTATTTAAATATTCTAATATATGCAAAGGGAATAGCCGCGCGGCTCTATGCTTTAAATATTCGAATACATTCAAAGAGTCTAGCCGCGCAGCTATACTATATAAATATTCGAACATATTCAAAGCGTTTAGCTACACGGCTATACTATTTAAATATTTGAATATATTTAATAGTATAGCCATTAAATATTCGATTATATTCAAAGAGTATGGTTGCGCGACTATACTATTTAAATATTCAAATATATTCAAAGAGTATAGTTGCGCGACTGTACTCTTTAAATATATTTATTTATTTTCCCTTATTTATGTATAAACTTCTCCAATTATATCCCTTTCATATTGATCATTATTTAAGCTGTTTCTTACTTGCTACATTCGTCCATTATTTTTATTCAACAAAAGAGTATCTAATCTAAACTTTTTCGGTTACCTAGACATAACTAATCTACATTAAAGAAAAATCTAAAACGGGAAATTCTGCAAATCATACTTCACCAAATTGAAGGATGACAGTCGTATTTAAGCAAACACAACCTCAACTAGCCTATTACTAGTTTGTATAGCTAACCAAACTCATCCATATAGTGGCTTTTCTCTACCAGGTATGATATAAAACCCAACAACTTCTTTTATTTCTTCATTACATCTGTTGAATTCTCAGAAAATTTGGACTCTGTGGATGTCGTTTTGATCGGCTGCGAATGGATTAATACTGTGATAAGCTTTATATATATTTCTGGATTGCATACCTGGTAGTATGGTGGGCAAATTTATGTGGCCGGCCAGAAGTACGCGTAGGATGAAATTGTCATGTACAAAAAGATTAGGACAAGATAAACTTCAGATGTCCAGCAAACATCCTCATTGCAGTCGAAGTCCAAGTTGTAATATGACCATGAGTTTTCCTCCACTTCACGACTCAGGGACTCACCAAGGCCCAAGAAAAGCTTTATTATGGTTAGTCTTTCTCTAAACAAATCTTTTATAGAAGTCTCCACATTTATCTCATCTATCTCATTGAGGGCCACCTTTTTTTGGATACGTGCACCAATTTTCCTACATGAAATGGGTTATGTAGACAAATGTTTTTTTTTAATCTTTCTCAGAACACCTAAAATAGAATGTCATGCACTCAAACTTTGTTCCAAACAACATCAAAGATGGCAGCCCTTGCAAGGTCGGGCCAGATAACATGTGCTCGTAAGCTGTTCGACGAAATGCCCCACAGAGATTCGGTTGCTTGGAATGCAATACTTACTAGCTATACCCACCTTGGTTTTCACCAAGAAGCCCTCTCTCTTTTCCACCAAATGAGAATCTCTGACACTGGGCCTGATCACTTCACCCTCACTGCAACTTTAAGCGCGTGTGCTAGCGCATGCAATCTTCGGTGTGGAACCAAAGTTCATGCTTTAGTAACTGTTTTGGGTTACCAGTCTTACTTACCGGTTAATAATTCGCTTATTGATATGTATGGGAAGTGTTTGGATCCCTCTAGTGCTAGGAGAGTGTTTGAAGAGATGAAACTAAGGAATGAAGTAACTTGGTGTTCTTTTTTATTTGCGCAAACAAACTCTAGTCAGTTTGATGTTGCACGTCATGTGTTTTCTATGATGCCGAGAAGGGTGGAGATAGCTTGGAATATTATGATTGTGGGTTATGCACGGTATGGGGAAGTGGAGTCTTGTTTGGATTTGTTGAAAGGGATGAAAGAGAGTTTGTGTCAGCCGGATCAGTGGACTTTCAGTGCTCTGATGAATGCTTGCGCTGAAGCATTAGAATTTTGGCATGGTTGCATGGTGCATGCTCTTATCATTAAAAGTGGTTGGAGTTCTGCTGCGGAGGTGAAGAACTCAGTTTTAAGTTTCTATGCTGAACTAGGCTTCCATGGCAGTGCAGTAAAGATTTTTGAGTCCACTGGAATCCTAACACAAGTATCCTGGAATGCCATGATCGATGCCTACATGAAACATGGGAATACCCACGAAGCGCTTCTTGTATTTCAGCAAGCCCCTGAAAAGAATATTGTCTCATGGACATCTATCATCTCAGGGTATGCAGGAAATGGACATGGGGACGAAGCTGCCAAATTCTTTGTGGATATGGTAAGAAGCGGTGTCCAACCAGATGATTTCACATTCGGAGCTGTCCTTTATGCATGTTCAAGCTTGGCAGTACTTGGACATGGTAAAATGGTCCATGGTATCATACTTCATTATGGCTTCCATGCTTATGTCTTTATTGGGAATGGCTTAGTTAACATGTATGCTAAATGTGGGGATTTACAAGGGTCAGTCCGTGTGTTCAGTGATATTTTACAGAAGGATCTGGTATCTTGGAATGCTATGTTGTTTGCATTTGGGTTGCATGGGCAAGCTATCCAAGCTCTACAGGTTTTTAAAGAGATGGTAGATAATGGAGTAAAACCAGATAATGTGACCTTCATTGGCCTGTTGATGACTTGCAGCCATAACGGGCTTATAGAGGAAAGTCGCATGCTTTTTGAAACCATGGGGTCAGTTTATGGGATTTCTCCTGAAATGGAGCATGTGGCATGCATGGTGGATATGCTCGGCAGAAGCGGTTACTTAGCAGAAGCGAAAGAGCTGGTTGATAAGTATTCAGAAGTAGGTAGTGCTGAGACCAGCTCATGTGAAGCTCTACTTGGTGCTTGCTCTGCACAGGGGGATGTAGGATTTGGAAGAAAATTGGGCGAAAGTCTGAAGATATTAGAACCGCATAAAGAGACGAGCTATGTGTTGCTGTCTAATTTGTATTGCGCAAGTGGGCAATGGAAGGAAGCAGAAATGGTTAGGGAGATGATGGTTGATCAAGGGGTGAAGAAAATGCCCGGTTGTAGTTGGATAGAAGTGAGAAACAAGGTAACAGCTTTTGTAGCTGGGAAGCATTCTAATCCATGTATGAATGAGTTATGTAATCTATTACATTTCATTAATTTTGAAATGAGGAATCCATGCTTTGGTGACATTGATAATTGAAAGAATTTTACATATCTCAAAAGGTTCTTCATACTATTGAAGATGGATAAATTTTGAGAAAGAGATGACGTCAAATTTGAATTGTTTAGAGATTTTAGTTTTTAGTATTAAATGGATGACATCCATACGTGGGATGAAAATGTCAAGTCCAAAAATACAATAAAACTAATATTGAGCGGTTTTCATATAGGCCAAACCTAGATGAACCAAAATAATTGTCATTTGTTTCGGCTTTGTTTCAAATTAATGTAAAAACTGAACCAAGCTGCCCGTAATAACGCATTCCAATTTCAATTCCAATTCCTGAACTTCCATGTGTTTGCTTATCCATAAATAATAAAAAATCATATAGGTATTCATAATCCAATACCCTCCGAATCAATAGTTGATCCAATTCCAATTCCTTAATTCTCATATTCAAGAGTTCCTTAATTCATGACTTTTTCATTCCTATTAAATAATATCCACTTTTAAGTTAATTTGAATTGGAGTAGATAAAAGATGGATTTTATTTTAAGTTATTATTTATTGGACAGGAATTAGATCTCTTTTCCTTTTCTTTTTCCTGACAGATACTGAAAAATATCTACATTTTTCAAAAGGTTAAAAACATACCTCTATGTGTCAGAAGTGTGCTTTTTCTACTAGATGCACCTGCTAAAGTGTTAAATGCACCTCAGTTTACCCTAATTGGAAATTTTGTACAACTTATATGGTAATTTTGTAAATTTCACTCACCAAGTTTGTGGGAGTTTTAGCTATTTGGGATAAGAATATCTGTCTCTATGAAAAAGAAGTTGATAATCTAACTAAAAACTTGCACGCCAATTATTGAATCATATATATATATATATATCAAGGATTGGATGTACACGTACGAGGCTGTATCAAATTTTTTTTTTTTTTTTTTTTTTTTTTTTTTTTTTTTTTTTTTTGCACACTGCATTAATATTGCATCTACATGTATGTTTGTCTTTTTTACCCCCCCCAAAAAAAAAAAGTTATGCAAATCATTAATATGCTAAAAAAAATTAATCTAAGCAGCAGCCAGTTGATTTATTGATTCACTTGATATTAAAATATGTTCTGATTTTCAGGAAGAAGGAACTTTGTCTCCAACTAACTTGTTACTTAACAAATCCACTGATGCTTGTACTCTCTCCAGTGATGAGCTTCTGGGAGACAGGCAGGCCAAGATCAAAGGGTCCCAAGGAGTCAGTCTGTACAAAAGCAAGCAGTAAAATCAAAAAATGAGCCATTTGCCATTTGCCATTTTGCAAAGTTGTCCAAAAAAAACTAATAATCACACGTGAACAAGAAATTCAAATATACCCATTTGATGCCTGACAGCCCAAGGCTTCTTTCGTCGTTGTTCACACGTGAACAAGCCACGAGATCTGTATCCGATTCTTGACAGGCACGGTCTTGTGGTAGCCCAGCCACACTGTTAACCTGCTGCAATAGACATCAAACTACAAGCTGTTTACTTGAACACCTTCAAAGCGCCTAAAAACAGCCTTATCATATGATCTTACACAAGAGTATATGAAAATCAAGCATTCTACTGATGTTATAGCCCTATTGTAATCAACTATAATTTAGAAAGGTCTGGCAAACAGGTTATTAATACATCAACAGATAAGATGTACACAGAAGAGACCCTGGAGATTTTAAAGTCTTAGCCACATATAAATGTAAACGATGCAAGACATCTCTTCCACCATGGAGAAATTTGATATTTCAACCATGATAGGAGCCAATTGATTTTAAAACATGAATCCAATTTAAGCAACGTACCACTCAATTGCAATAACATAATGAAATGTATGAATAGAATTCAGCAAACCTTGGTTGCATTTGGGAACTTGAATACTTTGGAACCAGCATTCTGACTGAAACCTCCACAACTTCCCGACGAAGAGAACTTTTGAAAAGGAAATGCATGACAAGTTTCTTCAGCATCCAAAATAGATAAGCATGAGTCATGAGTGGATGGCCCTGGACCTCGAGGGCTATTTATTCTGGTGGCAACAAAACCTTGGTGTGAATCAGAAATTGGATGAGTTGGTGGCAAGCCTGCATTGCTCGCAGTTGATTGTGCATCAATTCGGTTGAGCTTTCCCTGTAAGGATGCTTCAGAGAGGAGGCCACCAATGCTTATAGATGTACAATCAGCCCACAACGCATACGATTTTGAATCACTCTTTAGTTCAGTGGGATGAAAGCCTTCATCTTTCCCAATTTGTTTTTCATCACTGTTATTGCACTTAGCCTGTAAAGATGCTTCAGAAAGTTGGCCTTCAATGCTTACACTGTCAACAAAAAGTGGCGACTGAGCATGGTTGCCATCCATCCTCTGACTATCACCCTAATTACAATAAGAGAACAAATTTCAGAAGATCATTAAAATTCATGAAAGAAAAATGTTGCAAAAATCTCTAAATAAAACTCACATTATTGTAGCAACTTAAGTGCAAAACAAATATTCCAAGTCCAAAATGCTCAACAGAACAAATTTTCCATGTCTGCTTTTAGATTTGAAAAAAAAAGGATTGAATAATTATCAAAACTTGTATTCTAAATCCAACATTTAGTCATGTCTATTTATTGGCTTCCCAGCTTAAATGCAAATTCACTTGAAATTCATTATCACCAGAAATGAATATTTAAGAAAAATTCAAACTCACCTTAGTAATTTTTAAAAGCTTACCCCATAAAATGTGTGTGCATACATGTGAAAAAAGAACAACCAAACAAACAGTGAAATAAGCAACATTTTACCTTAAGATGAACAGCTCCAGTAGAAATCTTCTCGGTATCTGGATTTATTTTTTCACTTGCATTGATTGATCTGAAATCTTTTCTTGGTAACCCAGTGTGTTTCCCTACTTTATTCTCTGTGGCAGCCCTGGAATATCTCTGCGCTCCTTCAGATTGTAAGTCTACCTTGTCAATAGCTGATGTGGAAGGTTCAGCAGCGGTTTTAGGTTCAGTAGAGAACCAGCCATACCTCAAGAAACATACCAAGTCAGATAAATAAATTAAATTGTATACTCCCTTCAAGTAAGAGAAATGAGTAAGCCTTATACCTTAAGCGAAAAACTTCAGGGCTTCCAATAGCTGCATAGATAGCTCCCACACTAATGTCACCATCATTCATTGTCCATCTTCTGTTACTAGACATACTGTCCTTTATCTTATATGGGAATAGAGCTGGCTCACCAAGAGCAACACTTGAACTGCCCCACTTTCCATTAAGGTGCTTTAGCACAGAAGAAATCTTCTTCCGTGCTCTAAGAATGAGTTCTAAATATGGATGATGTCCATCCTAAAATGAAATGAAATAAAACAAACTTAGAAATTAAAGTGACAAAATGTTATGATGCAAATATATAATGCTGTTCTAAATTTTCAAAGTTTCATGACTTATGAACAACCTTTTCCAATCCTATGCGGGTGCCTTCATTTACAGGGAAAAGCTGCAACTTGATCTTTGAATGAGGGAGAAGTGTTTGCCCTTGACAAAAATCAATAACAGGCAGCCTCTTTGTTGTTTCTGAAGATTGCACACCTCTGTCAGGAAGCTCCAGACACATACCATCAGCTGCACTGTAAGGTGATAAACACTCATCTTTTTCAACCAAGAAATTGCCACCTTTCCCTAAGACAGATAAGATGAAATTAACTAAAAGGAATGCTCAAGAAAACTGCAAGTGAAAGTTCAATACGCATAACAGCACAAGAAAATGAACAGGCTAATCAAGTCGAAGGAGATTTGTATAGATTTATTTGTAAGTGGAATGGTATGTGGAAAATCTTCTAGATGAAAGAAAATACAAAAATTTATAGTTCAAGTATCCAGATGAGATATCCTACCTGTTGCTTTGTGGCTGTGCCGAGTAGTTCTCCTTGTAGATTTCTGTTCTCTCATGCTACTTCCTATACCTCCCCTGCACTCTATAGGAACCTTGATCACCTTCTTGTTTGCTTGTCTAGAAGCTTTCATGCTGTTTTGGCTTTACTGTACCGTTAGCCAACTGTCACACACACTTCGTCCTTCTCACTAGTGAAACAAGAATGCAGTATGTCAGGCTTCAACAACATTGGATATTAAGAATGAGCTAATTTACTTAAGGAACACAATAATGGCTTGCTTAAAATTTGTTTGGAACCATGGTGAGAGGCCAATAAATAGTTGATTGGTGTGACTAAGCACAAGAACAGATAATGGCTACATTGCCCTTTCTCACAGATATTACCCTCAATGTCCTACTAGTTTCTACCCAAAACATAGTTTTTGTAAGAAACACAAAACATCCACATACCCACAACCTGCGCAAAAACAAAACCTAAGACACAAAATAACAGCCAACTAAAATTTTGCACCACACAAATCTTTGCTCTCTGAGACCCAACTGTTCCAAATCGACAATCCGATTTTGAAAATTTTAGAATTCTCCAAATTAAACGAAAAACCTCACTAAGCCTCAAGACCCCAAAAAAACTAAACTAAATGGGTTTTTTCCTCTTACTCTTTGAGAATTTGAGATTTAATCTTTGAAGCTCAAGAACTAAGCTGATAATAACAAACATCATATTTAAACAAAACTTTTCAAGATTTACCAGCTATAAACCAAACCCCAAGTCACAAATTTTAATCTTCCGTATACACTACCTGAACTCATTGACTTATTCTTCTTACTTTGTTTTTGGTGTAAATATATTCTCTATATGGTCTTGAACAACCAATGATCAGAAATCAGTCATTTGATTCAACCTCCGGTGAGCCTGGGTTGAAGGACATGAATTGCATGTATGTATTTATGAGTATATATAATTATATATTCACTGATTCCGGTAATTCTAGGAACTAGGGTTTCGAGCATCACCCATATAAACAAAATGAAGATAATTTCAACGATTTAGAATGAAATATTGTGCCCTAAAATCTCACAATCCAATCCAAATCATAAACAAAAATCAATTGAATCTATAAATAAATATATAGCTCTTGGGCCGATTTATTTCACCAAAATTCAGGGAAGAGAGAAGAACTACAGAGTAGGCAAAGTAAAATTTCAACAACTTGATTGAATTTCTAGACATTACAACCCAAAATGTAAAGGGATATGAACGCCTGCTGCGTACCTTAATCCAAACTGAATCCAAGCATTGAGAAGGAGAGAGAGAGAGAGAGAACGAAAGATTCAGAGTAAAATGTTTGGCGGGAATGAGTCTGCGATATTTTAAAGCTCTTTTTGAGTTTGAGTCGGTCCCGCCTGAAAGCACAAACTATTTTGGGTTTATTTTCCTTTTTCGTCAACATCAATTTTGACCCGTATTTCGGCTAATTTGGAATTTGGATTATCTTCTGGGTTGTTAGGCCTCGTTTGTGATTAAGGCTAATTTAGTATTAGAGTGCTGCTATTTCTACCCACATGTTCTATTTTAAAGACAAATTTAACCATATTGTAGACTTAAGGAAAAAAAAATAGAGAAAGAAAAAAGACATAGACTTCTCAAGTTCTCACGAACGAGAAATTTTTATATGTTTCGGGTATACCACGTGGCTGGTATACTATCCAATAAACATAAGACATGTTGAATTATTGTCTAACTTACTGCATTTCTTTTTATAACATGTGGCGGGCTACATTGCAAATATTTCATATGTCTTCCGTCTATTGGATGGTACACCAGTCACGTGGTGTACCCGGAACACCCAAAAATTACTCTGAACAAACCCTATCGTTTGACAGAAAGAAAAAAAAACACAAGAAAGCTACAACTCCTTGCTCATGATGCCTCTTATGACTTTTCAGTGCTTATAACTTAATTCGCAAATAATTTTCTTCTCTTTTCTATTCATTCAATCAAATTGTTTATGAAGAAGAAAACAAAAAGAGAATCAATGTTGAAGAGAACAATTTTGGCGAAAAAGTAAGGAAAATCCTATTTGAACATAATTTATAAGATCTTTACGATTATTTAAAGCATTGGGAGATGAGTATTTTTTGGACTCTAATTTTTTTTCTTAAACAAATTAAAATTTTGAAAACTTGGGGATGAATCAACAATTCGATGATTTGGGCTTTGTTAATTACACAAAGAACGTTCCTTACAAACTAGTTTGGCTGAGAATATTTTTGAGGCATGAGAAGGTGAAGAAGGCTTTTTGGGTTAATGAGTCATTGGTTTTTTAGGAATGTAGTGATTTGGTGGGGGATATTTTGCATGAAGATGTGATGAAGAGTGTGAAATACATGGTGAAAATATTTGATGAAGAAGGACAAGTCTTGTTGTACCAGGGGAAGTTTGATTTGAGAGATGGTGTAGTTTTCATTGAGGCAGAGAGAGATTTATAGTAAACATGAGAGACAGAGAGAGATAAAGCGTGAGAGATGGAAAATAAGATACAGCAAAAATGAAAGAGATTTGTGGGCCATCAGAGAGAGAGAAGACGTGAGCAGAGAGAATAAAAGGAGAGAGGTAATAATTAAAAGGGTACTTTAGGAATATTGGTGGGTGAAAAAATAGGATTGTGTTTTTTAAAATTTATATGGTGGGTGGGAAGATAAGGTGGGTGGGAAAATAAGACAGGTGAGTGGAAATAGCAGCACTCTTGGTATTATTGTGCTGTAAAAGTAATCGTTGTCAGATTTATTGTGAAAAAAAAAAATCAGCTGTGAAAGAAAGCAGTTTAGCATTTGGTAAACTTTTTGTCAAAAGTGATGTTGGTACAATAATTAGTTTATGAGTATTTGGTAAATTTTTGTGTTAAAGTGTTGTGAGCTGTGTATAATGACTAAAAGGGACATTATATTGTAATGGCTTTTCTATCCAAGTGTTTGGTAAAAACAAAAATACTTTCACTTTCAGTTATATATTTTTTTTTGTTACATATATTTCCACCACACCCCAAAAAATTATTTTAATCATAAAATAAATAAAGTATCATGTTGAAAATTAAATATTTGTCTCAAAATACTCTAAATAAATGTTTCAAGTTAAATCCAACATATCCAATTAATAATAAATCTAATGTCAATAATTTGGTCATAACAATATGCATCTTACTTGAGTCTTGTGGCTTCTTAAGAGTGTGCTTCAATTGATCCAACTAGAAAAAAAATGGAAGAAGAATAGAAGATAAGGAGAAGAGTGCTCTGTGGCGTGGGAAGGAGAAGACGCACGAAGAGGAGAGCGTGAAATCATTTTGGGGTATTTTTATAATTTTATAATTTTCATTAAACCTAGCACCTCCTCAAATTTGATTACCGCATAATCAGAAATTGAAAGCAACTCATTAGTTGCTTTCCTTTATTGCATTCTCCCACAACAATTTTTAATAATAAGTGATTTTCTCATAGGTTACCAAATAGGCTGAACTTCCTAAATTTTTTTAAAAATCACTTATCAACCCAAATAATTAATGTCAAACAGGCACTAAGACTTTCATGAAATGGGAATAGCAGTATTTTGCTATTTTCGGCCAATAATGCTATGATACGAGTGATAACACATCCATGTGGCATAGCATTATTGGCTAGAAATAGCAAAACAATGCTATCCCATTGCAACTAAGTTTTATTAATCTACTTTTTTTTTTTTTTTTTTTTTTTTTATTTTTTTTTTTTTTTTTCTCGAAGTTTCTTTTTTGTTCTTGCAATTGTATTTTGCTAGGTGTCCGTCTCAACAATTTCTTTTAAATGTAAAATAACTAACATGTACAAAATTACTTAAACACCTCTTCCACGTCATCAAATTTGATGTAGGATGAAATATGGGCCAATTATAGTATGAAAAATTAATTAAAATGAAGTGACTCAAAGTTGGAAGGAAATCATGCAAGAGAGGAAAATTCCAATTAAATGTCAATTATGGCATCAAGAAAAGAAGGGGATTTTCCTAATAGATAACTTATTCTTCAAAATATAAAATTAAACATTAAATTAAATACAAATCTTGATAGAATCATAACTTCCTTAATCAATTAGAAAATCTCAACGCTCCTACTTTTCCTAGCACCATAATTGAAATTTAATTGGAATTTTCCTCTCTTGTACTATTTCCTTCCAACTTTGAGCTACTTTATTTTAATTAATTTTTCGCACCATAATGGACCCATATTTTGTCCTACATCAAAATTTGACACACTTCTGGATGGAGCTAACGGCGGGGGGCAATATGGAACATCAAACCTTGGTTAAGGAGACAAAGTAGGTCACTTTGACTTTCAAGGGGCAATGTGGGATTTGACCATAGTAACAATATATATGTAACTTCCTTTAAAATGTATCATGTAATTACTATGTGAGTGTTTAACCAACAAAAAAATATTAATATAAGAGTAATTTTTTATATTTTATTATGAATTTTTATAGTCATTTTTGTTAATATCTTAATTATAAAGTTTTAAAAAATATAATTGAATTATAAATTCCCTCTGTTTCACACTCTCTTTCTCCACCGCACCTAAAGAAAAAAAATTAGCATATGTTGGGTTCACAGATCGAGATCCTGTGAATAATTTTCTCTCGAGCTACCCTTCCGTTTGCAAATTTTCCCTAAAGCTACGATAACTTTTTCTGTTCTCTACAACCTTATTTTCAAAACTAGGGTTTTGGGAGCGAATCGTTTCATCGTCACCATGAAAGACGCCCTTTCTTTTTCTCTCCAATCTCTCCAATGTGGCTTTGAGCTCTCTTTCTATTCAATGCCCGATTACCCAAACTCTAGATGAAGCCCTAGGGCTAATGGATGCCTAGACTCTTTGATTAATAAATTAGGGAGGGGAGGCAACTAAATGGACCGGAATGGAAGGCGATCAGAGTCATTGGAGTCCGACGAGGAACTGAACGGGCTGAACTTCGAGGAGTATAAAAGGCTCAAGAGGTAGAAGCTGAGGAAGACGTTGACGCATTGTATTTGGAATCTGACGCCTAGCCCGCCTAGGGTTGAGAACTATGAATTCAAATTGGAGGACAAGGCTGATGAGATTTCATTGCGATATGGTGAGGAGAAAAAGAGCGAATCAAGCAAGAAGGCCAAGTCTGAATCGGAGTCGGAAAAGGAGGATTTGAGGTCGAGGAAGAGGAAGAAGGGTTTGAGTTCTAAGCTTAGGGGTAGGAATTCCAAGTATAGTGATAGCGAGTCGAAGAGCAAAAGCGATGATGAATTCGAATCTGATGAAGAAGATGATTGCAGACTGAAAAAGAAGTCTAGAAATAGGAGCAAGAGCAAAAGAGAAATGAGAAGAAGAAGGAAGAGTAGGCATAGCAGTAGCGATTATGATGAGAGCGAAGAAAATGAAAGCCAGGGTTCAAATTCAAATTCAGAGGATCGCTTGAGATCGAAGAAGAAGAAGAACCGAAAGTCCCCTAGCCGAAGTAAGACAAAGAAAGAGTCCAAAACTGATAGGGAGAGTTTCGAGTTGGGGAAGGCTTTGGATTCTGACCTTGATGCCAAGCATGTTACTATAGTGGAAAATGAGGTGATAAAGGATGAGAGTAATGTGCAGGCATTGAAGCTGAAAGGGATTTTCGAGGCCCAGAAGAAGCCTGCATTGGACAATGAGCCTGTGGTCAGGGCAATGCCATTGCCCAGAACTGAAGGGCATATTAACATCCTGACCCAATTTTTAATTAATTAATTATGAAATTACAATTTTGTCCTTATGATAGGGTTATTTTGGTCACTTTTTAATCCGGTAGGATTTTGGGGAAATATATGGTACCGTTGCATAGAGCGCGTCGATATGAGTTTGTAGACACGTAATTGGCTCAAATCGAACTTGTAATGAAGAAGTTACAATCAATGGAAGTGCATTGGCAAAACTATAAATAACTCTAAGTTGAAATTTTAAAAACCCAGATTTTTTTCTTCTCTCTCTCTCTCTCCCCTGATATCTGCCTCTCTCTCTTGTGGGCAGCACCTCCAGCCGGCCCACCACCACATCCGGCCACCTTTGGCCATGAGACCGGTACCAAAATGACCCGCTCAGCTTCCTCTTCTAGTCCCAACCCCCCTTAGCCTCGATCCACACTGCCATTGCCAAAAAAGGTCAAAAACGGCCTAATTTTAAGTAATTTTTTGAAAGCTCGTTCGAGTGATTCCAGTTACCAAATTTTGCGAACTTCGTATGCTTTTCTATCCTCTCAATGTGTTCTAGCAGCTGGTTGTGTTATTTAGGAGAAATTTTTGCATTTTGGTGGTGATTTAAGCAATGGAAGTTTTGCCCGGTTTCGGCCTCCAATTCCAGCCACTTATGTCGACTTTTTAGGGTAGGTCCAAGAACAAAAGTTGCTCCACTCTATGTGCTGATCATGTAGGTATAAGTTTTGACCGGCGGGTTGGAGATTTTCCGATCGTCGAAATTGCTTTGGACACCCACGCACTGCCGGCGCGTGTGACAGCTTGTGGGCCACTTTTTGGCAGGTCCTTGTGTCCTAAAATCATCCTCATGTAGTCCCGAGCACGACGGTATGCTCATATATGAATTTGGTTATCTTTGATCATCTATCGGATATTGCATATTAGGCGTTATCCGGGTTCAACATATTCGGACCATTGGATCGACTCCATTTTCATATATGTTGATCTAGACATTCCTATGATTGTGTAGGAATTGGCGGATCGTGAATCGGATCCCATGATATTCCGATTGAATAACTTAAAGTTTGCTTTAAACGATAACCATCCGATCACGAGTGATCCGATCGTTCGATTTGGACCAAATATGCAGGACGTGTTTCCTAAACCTTGTGGAACCCATAGAAACATTCGGATCGTAAAATACAGGTTGTGGGCCCCGCGGGCCCGGTTGACCATGAGTCTTCCGAAGTAGTTTCACCCTTCGAGGAGTACTAGAACAACCTTATTAATGCTTCTTGGCCGTTATTTGAGTTATGTTGACTATGTTGGAATTTTGAGATTTGTTTTATAGTATCTTAAAGAAATTCTTGGATGTTATATTGACAATTGGAGTTATGGAATGGGCGAGCTTGGGATATCGGATTGATGGATTGGGAAAGTGAGCCTTGGTTATGATTATTAGTAATTAAGTGGTCATTTGGTTTTAACCGTACTTAGTTCTTTTAATATGGAATTTTTTGCATAATGAGTTTAGATTGGAAAATGTGTCGATATGGGATTTTCTTTAAAGGTTATTACTTATCATTAATTAATATTATTATGATTATAAATAAAGTATACGGGTTGAATCCTCTTTTGACTTGGTAACTATGCTTTCCTAGTTTGGCTTCAATTGTCTTTGATGAGTTGGCATCCAAAATCCTTCTGAATATAGGATCTGTTGATGCTCTTTTTCGAAGAGGGTCAACTTAGAGAAAAGGGGTCTGTCTTCAGCAGTGGAGAAGGTGTGGACCTTCAATAAGGGCTAGCCTGCAAAAGACAAAGTAGGAGAAGTAGTCGTTATGCTTCGGACGCCGATGTGGTGCCGGCCGAAGGCTCTCCGAAGCTTAAGCCAGCTAAGAGTGGTACCTTTAGCAGAGTAACAGTAAAAGGTAAGAAAGTAGTTACCCTTTTTACTAGGGTATTGTTCCCTTTTTATAGGGAAGTGAAAGTGGGAGGTTTGTGTAGATTTCCGATGTGGGACTTTGTGCAAGTCGCTACGGTGGTGACACGTGTCATGGAGATTAGGGTTAGCTATTTGTGAGCTTTGGTAGTCGGGAGTTTCGGCAGGTGCTTGGCACCTCGGAAGGGTGTCTTCCTTCGGCAGGGGAGAAGGCGTGTCTGCCTTGGTGCTAGTTGTTTTGAGGCTAGATATGCTCAGTTGCTTATGGTGTAAATAGTAGTCCCCCAAGTTCGCGGTCGAGAAGTTTTTTTTGTAATCATGACCGAGCATTCCAGGTTCAGTGGGAGCCGTAGGGCAGTCCCTAGTCCCCCAAGTTGGCAAGCTAGAAGTTGTGTTAATACTTTGTAGATATGATAAAAGCTGTGTTAGCCTCTGGGATATTCGGTAAGTGTCTTGGGGCTTCAGCAAGTGTCTTGGGGAGCATGTGATGAGCCTTACATTTCTTTTTGCATGGCCCTTACTGTTCGGCAAGGTTGCAAATATTATTATTATTATTTTTTTTTGGGTCTAGGTAGCTTGTGAGCTGAGACTTTGTGGGAGCTCTTCAAGAAAATCCATGACCCCCGCCATTCGGCAAGAGGTTTGAGGGTCTCAGGCTTGGGCCTCATGGGGCGAAAATGGACCTGGGGTCTTGCTGCACCTTCGGCAAAGGGGCTAGGTCATGGTTTCGGGCTTAGCCTTAGTTGGGCTTCGCCAATAGTTGGGAAAGGATATGGGGCTGAGCCCAAGATGGGCTTGGGCAATGAGGCCAAGTGGAAGGGTTTGGGCTCTACACTTGGCAATGAGGCTGGGCCAATGGTGTACTTGATGGAGCTAGGCCCCATGGGGTTGAGGCTGCAAGGGGGCTTGGAGTCAGGCCTTCAATCCTTCGGTAGAGAGTTACCCTTGGAGCTGGGCATCCAGTGCTTCGGCAAGGGGTTTGAGGAGTGTTAGGGTCGGGCCCTTGGTGGGTCTCACTGACAGAATCAATTGCTAGGGTTTGGATTTTTAAAAGGGAGTATAAATAAGATCCCACAATGCTTGCCGTTCGGCAAGGCATTTTGGAAAAAGGGTCTTGGCGCCAGCAAGTGCCTGGCTCGTGCATAACCTAACTTTGGCAAGGTGAGTTCCAGAGAAATTTTTCATTTGGCAAGGTTACCGAGGTCCCCACTTGTTTTTCTAAACCCTTGCCGAATGGCAAGGGTGATTTGGGAATATTTAAGGGCCTTTGGTGTCTTCGGCAAGGCTAGCTTGGGATTGTGATTCGTGAGCCTCCACTCAGTTTCGCCAGCTCGAGTACCTTGGGAGCTAAGCTCTGCAAGTTTCGACAAAGGGTCCGGGGCAGTTTGAATAGTTTGTAGTCTTGGTGGGGGCTGAGCTGTCTTCTGCAAAGAGGAGGATTTGTGGCAAGAATACTTTTTCACGGTCCCTACCGTTCGGCAGGGACCTCCGTCTTGGCTCGGGTCGAGTTCTACCTTCAGCGAGAGTGAAGGTTGCGAGGGCTGAGTCACAAGCGGGGCTGCTAGGCAGATTCGGTAATGGTGGGCTAAATTCGTGGTGAGCTGGTCATCGAGCTACGTCCTTGGCAAGGGGAGCTGGACTCGGATCTGGTGCCTGCCTGGGACAGTTCTCGGTTCAGGTCATTGCGGCTGGGCTTTCGGCAAGAGTTTGAGGTGAGTACTTTGCCTTTTCTCTTTTGTCTAGCCTACCCTTGCCTAATGGCAAGGGTGGCTTGATAAAATATTTTGTAACATCCCACATTGACCAATGAGGCTGAATGTAGTCCTGAGCTTAGTATTTATAGGAGGAGTCCTGGAGGGACAATCAAGGCTGAAAAGACCTGCGTGGTGGAGCCTGATAAGGGCAAGTAGGTAGTCAAATCGGCATTCGGGATCGTGAAGCATGGTGGTTTGGGTGGAGCATGGTTGTGTGACCCCCATAAATCCCAGTAAATCTCGGCCACCGCCCTGATCGTGGGTTCTGCCCCCATTGGACGTGGGAACGCATTTAATGCCCTGGTATGGTGGTTGGTGATCTGACCTCAAGTCGTAAGATTACTTGTGAGAATGTCTGCGCCTAACCACTCTGATTTCCATCACCAAATCCTGACTTCAGTCACTTCCCTTCTTCCCTTGTGCATTAAATGCTTCTTGCGACTAGTGGGTTTGCTGTGATAGTCAGAGACATTACTTCATTAAATGGGGCGTGGGACCCTGAGGCCACGTGGCGATTTAACCACAGTATCTTCGGCCGTGTCTTTTATGGCCTTCGGCTTCGGCCTACAATACTGCGGTCGCGAGGCCGAGAGGATTCTGCCTTTGCAGCTTTTCTTTTGTTTTCAGGAAGGCGAAATGCCTAACGAAACGGTAAGTGCCAGGACTGAGAGGTAGTCCCTTCCATCAGTTTATGACTGTGATTTATTAGGCACAAACATTGCCCCCACATCCCTGGATTCTTCGGTCGCGACCTGGGCAGAGGCCAAATGGATTCCAAGGGATGGACCCTTGGCATTCCTCCTGAAGTGATTGACAGTTGGCGCTTTAAATGCGTAGGTCAGTCAGCGCATTAAATGCGCAAGCACGTCTTGTAGGCCATCATTGCCCAGACTTGCGCGAGCCGTCGTTTCGTCTCGTCAAATGAAGCAACGGCCTCTGGGTTTTCGATACGTCATCGCGCTCCTTGAGCACCCTGTCAGACCGTTATGTCTCTCGAGAGAGCCATGCCCTTTCGTTTCGAATTCTAGCGCCAATATAAAAGCCTGTCCTTCTTCATTCATTCCTTACGCTTTCAGAATTTTCAGACGCCCAAACTCTACCAAACTCTTCTCTTAATTCTTCAACCCTTTCAAACTTCACATTTAAGCACTCCACCTCTTTCTGCCCAATTATCCCTTTGTTAGTAACCAACGACTTCAGTCGCTTCTTCTGTATTTCTCAGAAAACTCACGAACTCTTCGTCCCTTTTTCTGAGTGCTCGACTCCCTCGTGTTCTTCGTGTTCATCACCCTTTCTTCGACTTTTTCCTTTAACACACCCTACTTCAATCTGTTTCAATGGCCTCAAGCACCTCTACATCTGTTGAAGCTCGGTCCCAAGTCTTCCAGACTGAGTTTGAAGACATTTACCGAGAAATCCAGGGCTCGGTCTTACCCAACATCGTGTGGTCGAATGAGCACTGAGCTAACCGCTATGACCGAGACGGAGAAATAGATGGTGATGACGTCCCCAGGCTCAGGGGTTGACAATAAAAGGGCTCGGCCCATGTATTCCTTGAGCTTGCTGAAGGCCTGATCACACTTGGCAGTCCAGGTAATGCTGTGTTTGCTACCCTTAAGTGCCTTGAAGAATGAGGCATATCGATAGGTAGCCTTGTTGATGAATCTGGTCAGGGCCGCGACACGCCTGGTAAGGCTCTGAATGTCCTTGACCGTCTTGGGTATCGTCATGTCTAAAATGGCCTGGATCTTCTCTGGGTTGGCCTCAATAGCCCTTTGGCTGATCATGAAGCCAAGGAATTTGCCAGAAGCCAAGGAATTTGCCGGAAGCCACCCCAAATGCACACTTGGTGGGGTTGAGCCTCATCCGATATTGCTTCAAAATGGTGAACATGGTAGAGAGGTTGGGGATGTGCTAGTCAGCAGTGCGACTCTTGACGAGCATGTCATCAACATAAACCTCCATGGTGTTACCAATCAGTGGAGCAAAGATGCTGTTCACTAGATGCTGATACGTAGCCCCGGTGTTCTTGAGGCCGAAGGGCATGACTTTGTAGCAGTAAAGGCCACGGTCAGTGATGAAGGATGTATGAGCTTGGTCCTCAGGGTGCATGAAGATCTGGTTGTACCCTAAGTAAGCATCCATGAAGCTGAGGAGGGCGTGGCCAGCTGCGGCGTCAACGAGATGGTCAATGCGGGGTAGGGGGAAACTATCTTTTCGGCTTGTTGGGTGACAGATTCCTCCCTAGGGTCTTCTGGGCGCTCAGTGCCAACTCGAGGTGGGGCTGGGGCCCAGGTTATCGCTAGGGCCTCACCCCTATGTTGGCGATTGGTAGACTTCACTGCAGAAGCATAGCAGCTTCGGGCGCCAAGTTGGTCGCCGCGCACCGTGCCCGTGCCATGGGGCGTAAGAAATTTCAACAGTAACATATATGTGGAAATGAAAACCTTCATTTGGGCCATGGCAAGGAGCCCAAGGTGACGTTGTAGGCTATGGGGCAATCAATAATGAGGAAGGGAGTGATGACCATCGTCCGCTGGGGTGCTGCTCCAATAGAGATAGGGAGATGAATGCTCCCAATGGGTTAGACCACATCACCCGAAAAGCTCACCAGGGGTGTGACACTTCGGTCGAGCACATGAGACGAGAGTTGGAGCTCGTTGAAAGCTTCAGCAAACATTACACTAACCGAGCTGCCAGTGTCCACCAAGATACGCTCAATGTCAAAGTTAGAAATGTCTACACGAATAATGATTGGGTCATCATGGGGGAGAATGACACCATGCTCTTCTTCATCGCAGAAGGTAATGGGGGCCCAGCCTGATTTTTGTGTCTTCGGCAGGCGTCCCTGCTCAGTGCCGAAGACCTGGTGCGCATAGGTGGAGCAGACATAATGTTTGATGGAGTTGTTGGAGGTTCTAGCTATGGTAGGGCCACCACTGATGGTAAAGATCATATTGATCTGTCGTTGGTGAGGGTTAGGTGGGGTTGGGAGGTTGTGTACGTATTTATCCAGCTTCCCCTCACGAATAAGTCCTTTAATGATGTTGCGCAAGGCAACACAAGATTCTATATCGTGGCCACCGAACTGATGAAAGCTACAGCAGACACCTGTGTTAGGCATAGGCTTGCTGCCTAGTTTCCGGGGTGGAGGCTGGGGTATGATAAATGCCTCGTGCACCAGGACATTCTCGTAGGTAGTGTTTAGGGTGGTGAAGACCTCGAACCTGGGTTTGGGTGAGAATGGGAGTGGGGCCCGGTCATTTGTCCTGGGGGGGTTGCTTCCACTAGACTGGTGGTGGTTGCCATGTCTGCCCCACTTGTTATTGTTGAAGGTATGCTGGTAGCTATCCTTCCTCTTGAGGTGCTGGGCACCCTGGGTGCTTGGTGTGGGGGCAGAATGTTAAGGTGGAGCTAGGATGGGTATTGAAGCAGGTGGAGGATCAGCAAAAGGATTACGCGCCAGGGTGGCTGGGCTGCGCTTGGAGTTGAAGTACATAGCCTTAGCGTGAGCTGCTGCCTGCTTCATCAGCTCGGCATATGTGTTCCAAGGGTTGCTATGGACCAGGTATCGAAAGTTGGACTCTCGGAGGCCACTCTTGAAAGCACCGAAGGCAGCGCGGCCATCAGTCTCCAGGCAGCGGGAGTATTCATGGCTGAACCTGGCTGCATACTCCCGAATGGGCTCTTCCTCACCCTGTCGAAGCATGTTCAGGTCGTCCGCGGAGTATAGGCGATCAGTCTGGATCATGAAATGGTCCAGGAAGGCCTGCTTCAGACTGTCAAATGAGTTTATGGTGCGGGGGTTCAGCCTGTAGAACCAATTCAAGGCCGCACCACTAAGAGTGGAAGGGAAAAGGAGGCACATGCCTTCGTCAGTGAGGCCCTTGCACCCCAGGGCAGACTGGAAAGAATGTATGTGGGTGAAAGGATCCTTCGTGCCAGTGTAGAAGGCGATGCGGAGTGGCTGGATGTCCTTATCCTGGTGGTAATTAAGAATGCGTTCGGTAAAGGGCCTAGGTCGTGGCTTTGCCCAGAGGGGTTGGTGGTTGCGCTGTTGTTCGCTCTCCACACGCCGAACCTTCTCAAAGAGAAGCCTCATGGCCGGGTAGGCATGAGGGAGGGGCTCGGGTGTTGAAAGCCTGAGGTGTGGATGAGCAGGGGCTGGGGAAGGTTCCCACTCTTCAAACGCCTCGGTATGATAAGACTCGTAGTCTTCTGAATAGTACCGCCCCAGTTCTTCGAGTCATATGCACCTTCTCCAGCTGATAGGTGGGTGGGTTTTGGTCGGGGGCCTAGGTGTGTCATCTTTGGGTCTTGGAGATTAACAGGGATAGGAACAGGGTCTGGCTGACGGTCCAAGATACGGTCTCTGCAATCCCTGTAGACCTTCACCGGTTCATGAGGCCGATCCCTCGATGAGGAGATGGAAAGGAGCCGCAACTTGGTCGTCTCTGGATGGAGGGGGCCTTTACCCTTGCTGAGACTAGGCTGGATTCGGGCACTGTGGTGAGAGGGCACTGGCTGGTTTGGCTGCGTACGCTCAGGTTCCTGGGTAAGGCCACATTGGGAGCCTTAGGCCTGATTCATCTCCCAGTTACGCTTCAGAGTGCGATAGTCATGCTCGAGCTCGACGTTCTTAGCAGGAAGATAGTCATATTTCTTGGACATCTTGGTGACACTAGCGTGAAGGCTTTCCAGTTCTGCCTGGAGATTGGCATCCGCTGAAGGTCTGCTCTGGGAGGTACCCTCATGAGGGGTATGGTGCTGAGTCCCTTGGCTATCCTCGGTAGGCATGGCTGAATGTGGAGTGAAGAAAAGGCGATGAGGCCGGATAAGAGAAGGAGCCAGCTAGGCTGGTAGAGAAAAATGGGATTCAAGTATCGATTTCCCACAAACGGTGCCAAACTATTGATACTCTTTTTCGAAGAGGGTCAACTTAGAGAAAAGGGGTTTGTCTTCAGCAGTGGAGAAGGTGTGGATCTTCAATAAGGGCTAGCTTGCAAAAGACAAAGTAGGAGAAGCAGTCGTTAAGCTTCGGACACTAGTGTGGTGCCGGCCCAAGGCTCTTCGATGCTTAAGTCAGCTAAGAGTGGTACCTTTAGCAGAGTAACAGTAAAAGGTAAGAAAGTAGTTACCCTTTTTACAAGGGTATTGTTCCCTTTTTATAGGGAAGTGAAAGTGGGAGGTTTGTATAGATTTCCGATGTGGGACTTTGTACAAGTCGCTGCGGTGGTGACACGTGTCATGGAGATTAGGTTTAGCTATTTGTGAGCTTTGACAGTCGGGAGTTTCGGCAGGTGCTTGGCACCTCGGAAGGGTGTCTTTCTTCGGCAGGGGAGAAGACGTGTCTGCCTTGGTGCTAGTTGTTTTGAGGCTGGATATGCTCGGTTGCTTATGGTGTAAACAGGATCAGACCTTAGAAAATAACTTTGCATCCTTGTAGACACTTCCCAAATGTAATTGACACAAATTAAACTCCAAGGATTGAACTTCAAAAGGATTATTTTGCAAAACCCGCAGAACACATTCTGCCCGAACTGTCTGTACTAAAACAGCCACAATTCTCTCCACACACGTCCGAATCACAAACTGTAAAATTCTACAGAAAGCTAACATCCGTATTTTTCCAAAGATATAAGGGTCAACTTCTGGTTCACTCTGAGGAAGTACAGTATATTCTGTCAAGTTGACTGTTCTGCACAGCACATTCTGCTCCTAGGATTTCACACTATATTTCAATCCCAAAATTGCTCTTTTTGCTTGCTTTTCCATCTTTACTCTTCAAACCTAGTAAAATACAAAACTAAGTAAAAATAGACTAAACTCACTCAAAAACATAACAAGAATCTAAGAGAAAGATAATAAAAATGTATGAAATAATTGTTATATCACATTTCTATTTCTTTGCCTTTATTAATTGATTGTTTTTGTTATTTATTTATATTACTAATTCATTTTCCATCATCCAGGCTCGAGTCAACTCAATTATTATATAGTCGGAGAACAAATTGAGCCCAATAAGCCCAACTGCTTTATGGGATGTAAAGTAGAACTTTTAGATAATTAGACACGAGCAGATTATCAATTGTTTTATCCAAGTGAAATAATAACAGCCGATTAATGGTTATGGTCAACACATTGCAATATTAACCCACTGCACCTAATTGTATATAGTCAAGCCGATGTACAAAATGGTGATGATTATTAAATGCATACGTGCAGACTTATCTTTATGGAGCCTGCACATACGGCCTTTGAAAGTTGGGCTACTCAATCTCTATTGTTAATATTCTAATTTCGTTTTCGCACAGATGTCCTTAAAATTACCATACCTCCACGTGGCCACGGATATTTATCTTTAAGTAACATATACTAAAATGTATCTAATATCAAATGATGTTAATGAGTTGGTAGTACGGTCAGCTCCTTTTCCATCCTCGGAACATAATTCATGAGGAATGCTTTAATATGAGAAGTGATGTTTTCTTTTACTTGTTGATGATTAATAATTAGAGACTTGGTCATGACTACTTTCAAGCAGTTGTAAGTACTCCATTTCTATTTCTTTGCCTTTATTAACTGATTATTTTTGTTATTTACTTATGTTACTAATTCATTTTACAACATGCAGACTTGAATCAACTCAATTATCATATGGTCTGGGAGCAAATTAAGCCCAATAAGCCCAACTGGTTTGCGGGAAGTATAATAGGACTCCCCGGTAATTAAAAGCGAGCAAATTATCACTTGTTTTATCTATGTGAAATAACAATACTTGACTAATGGTTACGCTCAACACGTCGCAATAGCAACCCATTGCACCTAATTGTCCCTCCACTTATTACTATATTATAACTAGCTTCATAGGTCCACCTCCGAACAGCCTCTCATTCATTGCAAATGAAGGAAGTAGACTTTTAGCTTTGTCATAAGTGATGTAGGCATTATTATTTGGTGTCATGGGGCACACACTGGATACTAAATAATGCTTCAAGCTCACCTAGCCTTAAATGATTGTAGTACTGTGAAATCTCTATGGTTGTTCTTGTCATCGAAATCAATGTGGGTATGTTCTTAAAATTTTCATGCCTCCATGCGGCCATGAATATTTATCTTAAAGTAACATATGCTAAGATGTGTCTAATATCAAATTATATTAATGAGTTGATGGTATGGTCCACTCCCTTTCCATCATCGGAACATATTTCATGAGGAACATTTTTACATGAGAAGTGATTTTTTCTTTCACTTGCTGATGATTAACAATCAGAGATTTGGTCGTGACTATTTTCAAGCGGTTGTAAGTGCTTCTTTTTTATTTCTTTGACTTTATTAGTTGATTGTTTTTATTATTTATTATTTATTTATGTTACTAATTTATTTTCCATCATGTAGATTCGAGTAAATTCAATTACTATGTGGTCGGAGAGCAAATTGAGCCCAACAAGCCCAATTGCTTTACGGGAAGTATAGTAGGACTCTCAGGTAATTAAAAGCGAGCAGATTATCACTTGTTCTATTCATGTGAAATAATAATAGCCAATCAATGGTTAGATTCAACACATCGCAATAACAACCCACTGCACCTAATTGTATATAGTCAAGCCGACATACAAAATCGTGATGATTATTAAGTGCATACGTGCATACTTAACTTTACGGAGCCTGCACATACGACCCTTGAAAGTTGGGCAACTCAATTTAAATTAGTGAATCCAACATACAAAAAATTGTCCCTTAACTTACTACTATATTATTTTGTTAAAATTCTAGTTTTGTTTTCGCATGAATGTCCTTAAAATTATCGTGCCTCCATGCGGCCATGGATATTTATCTTCAAATAACATATGCTAAGATATGTCTAATATCAAATGATGTTAATGAGTTGTTAGTATGGTCGGCTCCCTTTTCGTCCTCGGAACATAATTCATGAGGAATGTTTTATATGAGAAGTGATTTTTTTTCTTTTACTTGCTGATGATTAATAATCAGAGACTTCTTTTTTATTTCTTTGCTTTTATTAATTGATTCTTTTTGTTATTTATTTGTATTACTAATTTATTTTCCATCATGCAGACTTGAGTAAAATCAATTATTATGTTGTCGGAGAGCAAAATAAGGCCAATAAGCCTAATTGCTTTATCGAAAATATAGTAGTTCTGAAAGGTAATTAAAAGCGAGCAGATTATCACTTGTATCTATGTGAAATAATAATAGCCGATCAATGGTTATAGTCAATACGTCGCAATAACAACCCACTGCACTTAATTGTATATGGTCAAGCCAATATACAAAATGATGATGATTATTAAGTGTATACGTGCAGACTTATCTTTACGGAGCCTACACCTATGAGCCTTGAAAGTTGGGCTACTCAATTTAAATTGTTGAATCCAACATATAAAAAATTGTCCCTCCACTTACTACTATATTATTTTGTTAATACTCTAATTTTGTTTTCACACGAATGTCCTTAAAATTATCATGCCTCCATGCGGCCACGGATATTTATCTTTAAGTAACATATGCGAAGATGTGTCTAGTATCAAATGATGTTAATGAGTTGATAATATGGCCGGCTCCCTTTCCGCCATAGGAACATAATTCATGAGGAATGTTTTTATATGAGAAGTGATGTTTTCTTTTACTTGCTCATGATTAATATTTAGAGACATGGTCGTGACTATTTTCAAGCGTCTGTAAGTGCTTCATTTTTATTTCTTTACCTATATTAATTGATTATTTTTGTTATTTACTTATGTTACTAATTTATTTTCCATCATCCAGACTCGAGTAAATTCAATTATTATGTGGCCGGAGAGCAAATTGAGCCCAACAAGCTCAACTACTTTACGGGAAGTGTAGTAGGACTCTCAGGTAATTAAAAGCGAGCAGATTATCACTTGTTCTATCCATGTGAAATAATAATAGCCGATCAATGGTAACAGTCAACACGTCGCAATAACAACTCATTGCACCTAATTGTATATGGTCAAGCCGACGTACAAAACGGTGATGATTATTAAGTGCATAGGTGCAGACTTATCTTTACGGAACCTGCACATACGACCCTTGAAAGTTGGGCAACTCAATTTAAATTGGTGAATCCAACATACAAAAAATTGTCCCTTAACTTACTACTATATTATTTTGTTAAAATTCTATTTTTGTTTTCGCATGAATGTCCTTAAAATTATTGTGCCTCCATGCGGCCATAGATAATTATCTTCAAGTAACATGTGCTAAGATATGTCTAATATCAAATGATGTTAATGAGTTGATAGTATGGTCGGCTCCTTTTCCGTCCTCAGAACATAATTCATGAGGAATGTTTTTATATGAGAAGTGATTTTTTCTTTTACTTGCTAATGGTTAATTATCATAGACTTCTTTTTTATTTATTCGCTTTTATTAATTGATTCTTTTTGTTATTTATTTATATTACTAATTCATTTTCCGTCATGCAGACTCAAGTAAAATCAATTATTATGTGGTTGGCGAGCAAATTGAGGCCAATAAGCCCAACTGCTTTACCAAAAATATAGTAAGGCTCAAAGGTAATTAAAAGCAAGCAGATTATCACTTGTTCTATCCATGTGAAATAATAATAGCCGATCAATGGTTATAGTCAACACATCGCAATAACAACCCACTGCACCTTATTGTATATGGTCAAGCCAACGTACAAAATGATGATGACTATTAAGTGCATACGTGCAGACTTATCTTTACAGAGCCTGCACCTACGAGCCTTGAAAGTTGGGCAACTCTCCACTTACTACTATATTATTTTG